AAAATCATTTCGAAGCTATAAAATGTGAAGTTTCTCAGCTAGATAGTTTTGGATAGCTACGTTCCACATGACTAAATCCTTTCAGTAGAGGGTTGGCGACGCAAACGTCGCGTTACCTTGTACGATTTCATAGATGAGAGTGTAAATAGGTCAGGAACGAGATCTTCGATCAATGATAACCCTGAAGAGTGCTACTTTAATACTACTAAAAGTTCAATATTTAGTAGAAGTTTAGATGATTATTATAACATTACGGAAGAATCATATGATAATTTTACTTTAGCATTTTACGAGTTTAGGATGAAATTCTAAGGAGTTTCTTAGTAAGATAGATGGATTTAGAGACTTTCTGGATGTATTCGTTTTAAACCGCTAACTACAATCCTTTACGAAGTTGCTTTGTTTTCTGTTGATTTAATTATCCTTCCTCTCAAATCTCTCTTCTCTTCGTATGCTCTAATCTGATAATATTCTCTTGTTTATCAGTAAGTTTATTGACGTTTCGATCGATAAAATCGATCGTCTTCAGAATAAAATAGGAAATGAATACAGAAAAAGTTATTGTGCTGATGATTCATCTAATTGTCAATTTTTTCTTTATTTTCTTTATAAGTATTATATTACAGTACTGGTAAGGATAACTAAATTTCAAACAAAAGAAGTTCTAGTATATATCGTCTTTTCCGTACCAGTACTGTAATATTTATAAAGAAAATAAAGAAAAAATTGACAATTAGATGAATCATCAGTACAATAACTTTTTCTGTATTCATTTCCTATTTTATTCTGAAGAAAATCGATTTCATCGATCGAAACGTCAATAAATTAACTAATAAACAAGAGAATTATCAGGTTAAAGCATACGAAGAGAAGAGAAAATATTATACACAATCACAATAATTGAAATCAATCAACCCTTCTAAAGGGTTTATGAAAGTGCAACGTATAGCAAACCCTTTAAGGATTTATGAAATTTATAATCCCTTTCATAAACCCTTCAGGACCAGTTTTTGAAAGTCATAGACCCTACACTGAAAAAACAAAAGGTGTCACACGAAACCTAAAAAGGTTCCGAATTTTGAAACGAAATCGAAACCTTTTTAGGTTCCGCAGAAACTAGGTTCCGTGAAAGACCATGAATTAATTCATGAAAAAAAGGTTTCGTATACAGGGTTCCGCAAAATATCCTGAGCGATATTAGTGGCTGGTTTAACAAAAACGAATATTCTACTGAAAATTCAGTTTTTCATGACCACATAAAAGACAAAAAACATACATTACTCCGAATAGCAACTTATCAATAATTGAATTCATGACGACGTACCTACAACAGAAAACACACGAATACAATAATTCTAAGAGTAACTAACAAACAATCGAATTTATCAGGACCTGAAACAGAAAAGCATCGAACAGAATTATTATAATAATAGCTTACTAGAATTCGAATCGATCACGACCTAAAGTAAAAAAAACGAATAAAACTATTTTGATAATCACTTATTGCTGATAGAATTCACAACAACCTAAAATAAAAAGAAACCAATACAATAATTCTAATAATAACTCACCAACAATGCAATTTATCCGGACCTGAAACAGAAAAGCAGGAAATAGAAAAATTTTAATAATAGCTTACCGAAAATCTAAACCATCACGACCTAAAGTAGAAAAAGAAGCAAACAGAATAATTCTAATAGCAACTTACCGCTCATAGAATTCACAACAACCTAAAATAAAAAAGAAACGAATACAATAATTCTAATAATGACTTACTGAAAATGGAAATCATCACGACCTAAACAAAAAAAAGACACCAATAGAATTATTATAATGGTAACTCACGAATAATGGAATTTATCAGGACCTAAAACAGAAAAGCAGGAAATAGAAAAATTTTAATAATAGCTTACCGAAAATCGAATCCATCACGACCTAAAGTAAAAAAGAAGCTAAAAGAATAATTCTAATAATAACTAACCAAGAATACANCGAAGACAATAATTCTAATAATGACTTACCGAAAATCGAATCCATCACGACCTAAAGTAAAAAAGAAACTAAAAGAATAATTCTAATAATAACTCACCAACAATGCAATTTATCCGGACCTAAAACAGAAAAGCAGAAATAGAAAAATTTTAATAATGATTCACTGAAAATCGAAATCATCACGACCTAAAGTAGAAAAGCAGTGAACAGAATTATTCTGATAATAGCTTACCGAAAATCGAATCCATCACGACCTACAGTTGAAAAGAAGCAAACAGAATAATTCAAATAATAAATTATCACTAATAGAATTGACAGCAACCTAAAATAAAAAAGAAACGAAGACAATAATTCTAATAATGACTTTCTGAAAATCGAAATCATCGTGACGTAAAGTAGAAAAGAAGCGAATAAAATAATTTTGAAAATAACTGATCGCTAATAGCATTCACAACAACTGAAAGTAAAATAAAAACGAATACAATTATTTCAATAGTAACTCACAAAAAAATGGAAATCATGACGACCTGAAACAGAAAAAAAAACGAATAGATTAGTTGCCATTTCAATTTATCAGTTATTGAATTCATTAGAATCTAAGGTAAAAAATTATCGAGTTTACGTTTTGGAAGGAAAAGTTGCTGTTACAGAAGTTTTTGGAAGTTTTAAAAGAGCTAAGTAATATATTTAATTTTAATGGAAAGTTGCTAATAATGAGTAGAACTCGTAAGTAACTTAAAGAGAAAAGAAAGGAATTGATTCCACTGAATTGTAACTTACCAGTAATGGAATTGTGAACGAATCTTAAGTGAAGAAAGCGATTTCATGAGTTGTAAAAATAACTTGCGAATGTGAAATTTTAGTTGAACCTGGGAGAAAAAAACAATTTGTTGTGATCATAACTCACTACTAGACGAACCTAAAGAAGAAATAATAATTCTGTTAATGGTAAATCATGATCATTGGATTCAGTGTGAACTAAAATAGAAGATAAACAATTTCGTTGGTTCTAAGTGTAGCTTACTTATATCAGAATTTTACGAAGAACCTAAATTTAAAAAAATCGGGATATTCTATTTTGGATAGTGCTTAAACGTAATTTTTCTCTACGTGTTGATCTGATGAACAGAGTAAAGAAATGATTATATTCGAAAATTATAGTTCTGAGTAATAGAATCAGATGAGTAGTTTTTAATGTAGGCTGATATAATGTTTTTCGTGGATTGTAGTTTATTTTTCAATGTCTTCATAGAGCTAATGGATCCAACAACTGACGTCTCAGTAGAATATCTGAGGAAAACTATATACGTTTCATCGTTTGTTGTGGTGATGGAGCATCATTTCATCGCTACATATGACAGAAGTTACTTTATTATGTTAGATCGACATTTATTGAAAGCAAAAGCAATTCATGAGTGTGCGAAAAAATAAAAGAAGTTTTCTTATGTGTAGGATAGTAGAAGATGTTTACGGAGACAGCTTCTAGTTCGCTGTAGTGATTAAAGTGACGATATAGCGTATGAAAAAGAAAACCAAGTCAGCAAGAGTAATAAAAATGAAATTGAAAAAGCTCAGTCTTTATTTGTCTTTTTGTTTCACGCGTTTTAAACGTGATGATATTGGTCTCTCAGGACTATGTCAACGTTTTTTTTGATTGAGAAATATTCTTTGGTGGTTTAGTTGATGGAGAAATGTGAGTTGGCGATTTTGTTGATTGTACTCGGTTACGGCTTCTTGTCATTTTCTGTTCGACGTTGACTGAATAGAAATTGTTTTGATTTGAAAGCGCCGGGGTTGATGTTTCAATGTTTAGTTCTTGTATTGATGAAGAATGCATTTGTAATTCAGGATCAGTTGATGACGATAGTGATATTTTTTGTGAAGAATCATTTATATCTTTGTTAGCACTTGTCATCGCTGTCGTTGTTGGATGTTGAACATCATCGGAAACTGTAGATACGGACAATTGTTGTTTTACTTTAACTAATGGATCAAATTCGGATGTTTTTTCAGTTAAATTTTCGTTGGGTTCTTCATCGTATAAAGTATCCGGTTCATTTTCATCTACGTGAGGTAAATCTGTGATCGAAGTTGTATGTGTTTCATTGTTGGTAGATGTGATTTTTACCACTTGATTTGGTTGTTTACGTTCTTTTTTTTTCAATTTAGAATTTCCATTCATTTAGTGTACAACGTAATTGTTTTGTTAATGCTGCTGGTTCTTGTAATAATATTCCATACAGTAAATATATTATTCGATTGTGTGTACCGAATTGTAATTCAAATGTAACATATAAAGAGATAATAATACATAAAGCTTGATCTATTGACGCTGTTGCAGTAATAACATTGTAATCTAAATAAATGAGGTATTTATCTGTCGTGATTTGTATTTTTGGACGTGGAGATGATGGTTTCTTGATGATGAAGAAGAAAAGCCAGTAGTAACAGTTGAGGTTGAGTGTGACGAATTTTTTTCGAAAACTACTAAAATATGATCAATATTCTAGAACGAAATCGTTCAAATAGGAAAATATAACAGTTAGTGACATACATTTGATGGTGGGTGTGGTTTACTTAGATCAGGAATCTAGTTTCTGAACAGTGAATGGTATTGTAATAGCAGAGTGGATGATTTTGTCTCTAAAAATCAGTTGCATATTAAATCAAATGAGAACCTAAGAAAGAATATGATATAGAAATTAGTTCTATGCATAATAAATGATTGTTTCTTCGGAAAATGAATGGAAGAGTTTTGGCGTGTAAATCAGGTGCAATTTTCTCATCAGAATCACACGTAGTAGAAAAGAGAAAGACTAGTGATGAATGCAATACAAAGTAGTTGTGATATTTTGGAGATGGTTATCGATAGGATTCAGTGCAAATCGAATGTTGGAAACTAATAAAGCACGAGTTAGCAGGATCATTAGTCGCGTTATTGTTATCCTGTACGAGGACATTAACAGAGGTCGCTTTCGTATAAGGCACGATGAATGCGTTTTCTGCTCAAGGTATATTACGGAACCTTTTTGTATGCGGAACTCGAAAGAGTTTATCACGAAACCTTTGGCAAAATATAAATTCAGTTGGGTTTTTGACGAAACCTTTTTTTATTTTTAATGTCAAAAAAGTGTTATACGAAACTTTGTTTGCTGCTGAACCCAACATAGATTTCGTAGAATTCTACGGAAACCTAAATAGTATCGTACAGCGCTACGGAACCTCAAAGGTTTCGTTCGGCACCTTTTTTTTTCAGTGTATATTCATCCCTTTTTTTAGGGTTTATGAAAGGGTTTATAACGCCTTCATAAACCCTTTAAAAGGGTTTGTGACACGTTGCACTTTCATAAACCCTTTTTTCGTTTTTTATTCTACGGATTTTTTTTACAGTGTAGGCAGCTGCTCCGAATTCCTCAACTTAAAACATATAGTTATACAAAAGTTGATACCCTAGGGGTAATACCCCAAAAGGAATTCTATGGGTATTATGACTTCGAAATCACGATACCCAGTGTAACGGTATTATGACATCCATGCTTAATCGATTGAGCGTATTTGTAAATCGATTCAACTCATCGATGAATAGAAACAATTAAACATGTTTTATCAATACAGTAGTGGCCAAAAGTCCCGCCCCTAGTAGAATTTTCTAGAAAATCTATAATCTTCCATAAATTTTATATAAATATACAGTACTAATCATCTCCTGATCGGAACCATAGATGTTCATCGCGGCTGAAAATGTGCCGCTGCCGCGCCGCATTGAAAATAAACTTCGCTGCGACCTTATGAATAATATGATTTAGAGAAGGTTTTCTGTCCTTTAATAAAAAAACTCTGCTTATGCATCATACAATTGATATAAACCAGTGGCGAAGCCAGGATTTTGGGCTACGGAGGCTCAGCTCCGTAGGGTTCTCGCGAACATCCAAAATTCGGAAAGGGTGCCTTCTAAAATCGTGCTTAAGGTACAAAATTGCCAGATCTTCTGGATTTTGAAAATTCATCTGGGCTTTTCGTGGATAAAAAAACTTTCAATGAATTTTTTGATGATTTGAAAGCATTTTTGGATTTTTTATGAGATTTTGAAGGTTTTCTGGATGATTTTTCAAAATTTTGAAAGTATTTTTTGGATTCTTTGGAAAGTTTGAAAAGTTTTCTGGATCTTTCTCTAGATTTTTTGAGAATTTTGAAGCCTTTTTGGAGGGTTTAGAAAGTTTTTCTAGATTTTTCCTAGGTTTTTGAGTTTGATATCTAGCAACACTAGTTAAAACGTGAAATTGCAAATAGTAATTTATATTGGGATAAAAAGATGTATTTTCTAAAATCTCCTTTGGGGAAGCTGAAAAATTTCTAGGTGGGCTGAGCACCCTCTAGCACTGCCCTGGCTCCGCCGCTGATATAAACTATTATGTCGAATGTTAATCTTAAAAAAATTCGTAACAATCATGAATTCATTAGAGATATGATATTTTAAATATAAAGCCAGTGTCAGAATTTTTAGTAGGGTACGGATACGGACAAATGCATTTTTACAAATGGAAAATTCATTATAATGATAGAATTTGAACAACGTTAAAACTTAAAGTATTTGTTTAATATTAACCGATGCACAAGCGTAATAATTGGAATTTATCAGCGATCATATGTCTAGATAAAATCCGTATTGATTCAACATGAATAAAAGAATATCATTTCAAACATTCTTACAGTCGTATTCGTACCCTGCCGATATAAGAAAAACAATTCTCTATTGTGTTTGTGAAATACGTAAATCAAACAAACTTTCATTGTAAGAAATAAGTCAGCATTTCTCAGTGACATTTCTCAGTGAAAAAAGAAACACTACAAAAATATTCATAGTATTAAAAAATTAACTACTGATATGTATATCAATGATGCTGGCATAAAATATCGATTTTTGAACGTTTAGTAGCATGCTTCCACAGAAAGTCATCATATAACCTAATGATCCTAGCGCTTCGGTTTCTGTTAGACGATAGAAGAGTAATGTAGATGTACTGATTGAGAAAACAAATCACTCTGATCTAAATCACAGTTGATTTATACTTTCAAATATTATAGATTTCTTCAGGAAAACGAAAAAGGTGCAACAGCTGCCGCGCTGCTCCCGCGGCCGTAGCAAAACAAAAGTTGCCACTGCCACGCCGCTACCGCCATGGCCATTTTAAAACCTTACCGCTGCCGCGCCGTGACTGCAGCAAAAAAATAGTTGCCGCAGCCATGGACATCTATAATCGGAACCACTCTTCATTTCTGCTACATTGTTATTAATCATTAACTATAGCATAACATTCAAATGTGGCCTTACAAGTGTACCAGCGGTATGAAATTCTCTTTTTATCTCAACATCCGCTAGGACCGAAGTTCAGCCATATGGCTCAAGCGGTGGAATCAATCAAAGCATTTGACCGATGCACCTCGATCTGGACGATCACGTGTAACAACTCCAAAACAGGATAAAAAATTGTTGCACTTGTTGAACAACAAACGTTCGTCACAAGTCAAGACATCACGAACCAGTTGAACAAAAAGGGAGTCGAGATCAGCCAGAGAACGGTACGACAACGCTGAACGAAGCGGGAGCGAAATATAATCAATCTTTGTCAAAACTACTACTCACTGAAAACCGCCGAAAGAAACGTTTAAAATGGGCTGAAGATCAGAGAACTACGGACTGGAACCAAGTGATCTTTTCTGACGAGACCACCATTCGTATGAATTCCGTTAAAGGACTGGTTTGGAACTTGCCTGGAAAAAAGAAGGTTGTGCGAACTGTCAAGCATCCTATCAAGGTCAATGCTTGGGGTTGCTTTTCAGCTCGAGATTTTGGTCGCGTCGTATGTTTCAAGGAGAACCTAAATGCGGATTTGACGTGTCATATTTACAAGTATGGCCTCTTACCTACAGCACAGAAACAATTCGGTTATGATTCAACGTTGTGGAAATTACAGGAAGATGATGACCCCAAACACACATCAAAAATTGGCAATCAATTGGAGAATGAATAATAATGTCCCCAGAATTGATTAGCCGTCAATGTCTCCCGACATTGCACCCATAGAAAATGTTTAGCAACTTCTCAAAATGAAATTAAGAAAGAAAAAACTACCAACTTCTCAATCTTTAGTTTCGGCAATAAAACGAGAATCGAAGTCTTTATCACCAGAAAATTGGCTATTAAACTTGTACATAGTATGCACAATCGAATTTCTGAAGTTATTGAAAATGATGGAGACTTTGTATTACATTGATGATCATATTGTACTATAACCCAGGTCCAAGAAAACGATGCGTAAATGGCCGTAAAAGATGTAAAAACAGTATAAAACGTTGAAAAACTGCGCCGTTTTCCGTCAGCTCGGAAAACGACGAATATACTGTTAAAAACGATGGCCGTTTTCTAGCGGGAAAAACGGTCCGTAAAACGAGCTGACGGATTACGGCGAAATAAGGTGAAAATTAACTCCTTATTATACCATTTTATAGCCGTTTCGGGCCTGTTAAGAAGACCGTTCCGGCGATCGGAATGATTGTCCTGGGAAGCTTTGACATAATAAAAACGTTTTCCTCTTATCTCTTCTTTTGGTGTAGTTAGACTAGGGGCGGGGCTTTTGGCCCCTACTATATGTGCATGTGTACATATCTGTTTACATTCATTTCTTTTGGTGACTGCACATATCGTCGCACGATCACTTCGTCGTAAAACAGTTCGTCGCACGACACTTCGTCGCAGAAAAATTCTTTTCGTTCTGTTCGTCCCTCTCTATTTGTCTCTTCTCTCTTAATGAATTATTCTTTTGTGTATAACCAATGGAAAACTTATCAGTTAATTTCTGTGTACTTTGTGCGTACTAAACACACAACATCATGAGGAATAGATTGAGAAAAAAAATAATATAAACAAAAAAACAAAACTGAAGAGAAAAATGATCTAAAGAGTTATATTGGCTGCTAAGTTGTTTAAGAATTGATCTAGTTGAAATGAGTCGAAGGAGTTGGCCAGTCGAATTTTAATGTCAATTTTTAATTAGATAATAGGAAAACGATCGGGTTTCGGAGCATGGGAGTGTGATATTGGTGGTGAGATAAATGGGTTCAAGGATAAATTGGCATAACAACGAGTTTCATTGATAAATGGCTCTTATTTCAATTAATTGACTGATGTTCAAAAAGATCTTAGCTTTACAATCCTGATTCTGAGATCGAAGAGTAAATTTCGTCGTTATTGTACATTTTTCAGTATAGATGTAACCTTCCTAGAGTATATCATTGCTTTTTCTTTCATAGGAAACAATTTTCTATTTGAGAAATTTTGCTTGAAAGGTAGTGCGCAGTAAAAGTTAAAATTTAGAAGTGAAATGTATTTTTTTATTTGACTTGTTCCCATAGTTAAGAATGCTGGAGCAGTGGTTTTTTTGGTTTAGATTACGCTGAAATTCATGAAGCGAGCGACAAATTTAATTAGTTTTCATTAACTTTAGCAATATCACAATTAAATGTGAATAATATTTTTTATTGATCCTTTTACCGAATTAAAATTATATGTCTTAACACAATTAATTATCTATCACCATTGTACACATCTCTTGCAATTTTTCATTTATTTTATATTATTTCCATTGGTTATACAAAAAAAATAATTCATTAAGAGAGAAGAGACAAATAGATAGGGACGAACAGAACGAAAAGAATCTTTCTGCGACGAAGCGTCGTGCGACGTTATGTACTAGCGCCTTTCTTTTACAATATCAAAACTGTCGGCTGCTGACCCAGGTCTAACAGTACGGTTCGTATACGGCCATTGACGGTTACTTTACGACTATTATAAGGGCAAAATTTTGCCGTATATATCTGGCGCAGTAATACGGATCGTATTATCGTGAGAGTACGGAGCACAAACAGTCGTAAACCATGAAAATTCAGTTCCACTTACGGTGCCGTATTACTGCGCCAGGTATTACGGGCAAATACGGCCTATTTACTGCCGTAAAAAATGCCGTTTTGACATCGTTTACCGTCGACAAACAGACCGTAAACGAGTCCGTTTTGATCAACCTGGGGATTAACGTGCATTTAAAAAAAATGAAAACAGAAGAAAACCAACAGCAAGAAGATGATAAAAATCAAGATCGATTATCTCAATTCTTAAAAGATTTGCACCAGCATCGCAACGATGTAAGTAAAAAAAATTTAATAACTAAATTTATATATTTTTATTGATTTAGGCTCGCAAATTGGGTGAAATTCAATCATTAACAATGTATGAAAAGAAAAATGCTGAAACTCCACTTGATGATTTACTTATGAAAGACGATCCAAAAAACGAAGACGAAGAATTTTTACTAGGCAAAGTTGGTAAATATGATCGACGATTTCAACTTGTTAAACGTGCTATTGAAAAAGCATCGGGACCATAGCAGGTAATGAATTAAATAAACTAAAAAAATTTTTTTTTAATATAATTTCTGTTTTAGTAGCAAATTTAAATATACAATATTTTATTTGTTAATTATTATTATCGTCATTTTTTTAAATTTTTTCTTCATGATCTCATGCTAAAATTTTAATGTAAAATCAGTAAAAGAAATAATTTCAAATTATTCTTATTATTTAATTAATTCATTTTTTTTATCTCTTTAGTTATCAATATTCATTGAATGTCTTCTTAACTTAATCCACCATCACAATTGCCAATTCGTAAAAGTTCAACTGATTTAACTTCAGTTTTCTTGTTCTCTCTTGTAAAAATGAAATGAATGAAGAATTTCTTCTGAAAATAAAAAAGTTCAATATTTATATCAACTCAATATGTTTTAACTATTTATCAAAATTCAGAAAATAATCGAACCCATTTTTCATCAATACATACTTTTATTTCAATTAATTCTTCCCATCATTAAGCTTTGCTATAATAGTGTTGCAAATCAAATGAATCGTCATATTTCATTTAATTAAGAACATTTTGTAATCTTCTAGGGTTTAGGTGAATATTCCTAATCGTAAGCTTCTTTCTGCATCTCTTGACACATTTAAATATATTGTTTATAGACCCTTTACTCTTCCAAAGTAAACTGATTTGAATCTATATGTGAGCTATGAATGCCAGCAAAGTAGTGGAACTTCTCCAGATCGCACCTGATGTATGTCGTCTAGATATCACCTTATTGTATAGTTTAATTGATGGTCATCAATGGGATGAAAAAAATATATTCGTAATAACTTGCCCAAACTTAATTATTTCTACTCGAGATACAAAAAGTAATTTATCCGATAGCTTTTATTGAAAACATTTCTAAGAAAAAATCAACATTTACAATGATAAAGGAAAATACTCATCAAAATGTTTTGATCGAACAAACGGCTTATCTATATGAAGTACTTTTAATTTAGCACAATAAAGACGTGTTGTATCATTAGTGAAGTTGTTTGTTACCATTACGAGTGATTCATATTCGATGCAGAGATCCAACAAACAAGGTAAATGAGTGTTCGTATCGACGAGAAATTGCTCAGCATAATCAACATGTGCTTCAAAAAGATTGAGAAGATTAAGATGAGGAAAATTAATTAATGTCGAAGAATGTTGCTTTTCTTTTTGTGGTTTCACATTGTTTATATTCAACTCTTTCAAAAAAGGAAAATCATCAGAAATAATTTTGAATAACTGATGTTCAAAAGGATATGTATCAGTCATTGTTAAACATCGGACTTTAATAAACATGCCACCTTGAAAAGAATTGTTGAGATGAAGAAAACGTTCGAATTGATATGGAAGTGAATATATATGGGATTTCACTACAGCCTTTACTTTGTTAACACTGAATTCGTCTATTGGCCTTCTTGGTTCAAAATGCACATATGAACCAACTTGTCCATATTCTCTTCCAATGAAACTATGTTGAATGTCTTCATTTGATGGTACATCAATTTTATTATTCTTAATAAGAACACCTGTATTTATACTGAAAACAAATTTGTTTAGGTGCGGCATATTAGTAAGTACTTGATGATTTAATTCAATACCACCAATAAAAGTTGACTCAACCCTTATTACTGATAGAAATAATATTAATTCTTCAAGATTTATCATTCGACGAAGTAATGGAATAATCTGTTCATCATAATCATGTGTATAATTAATTGAAGTCAATGAGAAGCATTTCAACTTAGGAAGTTTTCTCTATAAAACAAAATTATTTAATCAATATAATCTTTTTCCTTAAAAACAAATGTTTCAAATTTACCCAGTTGTATATTTTTGATGGTTTATATCTGATTCGTTTGACATTGATAGTTAGCTTTGATAAGCAATCGAAATTTCCATCAAGAAGATAAAGACAATCATTAAAAATTGCAACATTTATTTTCAATTCGGTTAAAGTTGAAGATGTACAACTTGTTTTTGGTAGTTTATAAATAGAAATTGATGAAATTTGACAAGAAAACAATTGACAAAAATTCAAATTGATTAATCGTTTACATAGAGATAAAATCAATACAAATATGTTTGATGACATTTCAGACAATTCTGATATTTTATCATTCTGAATATCAATATTTAGGTGTGTGATTTGTTGCATAAGAAGATCACGCAGAATTGAATAATCTTTAAATAAAAAGATCATTTCCTTAATGAAAATGAAAAAAACTAAGTATTAAAAATATACTTATTAAATATTGAAAAAGTATTTCATCTTTAAAATTAACAAGTGTCAAAGAGTAAAGCTGAGAATAATTGAAAGTAAGAATACGTTCTACTGAATGTTGATCAATAGAAAGTTTTTTAACTTGATCATGAATTTTCGGTAAGATGTTTTCACATATGCTTGAAAGAACTTGTTCATGTACTGAAAAAGTACGATCATAAAATGAATTCATAGTCATAAATGTAATATCAAGATTTTCAATATAACGAGGATCAAGTACTAATTGACCAAATCGTTCATTCACATCCACAAGTGAATAAAAAACATCAACAATATTCAGTTTATTGATTATGATAAATAATATTTCATTGGGCAAATCGAATATATTTGGATGATTGTTATTCGAGATATTCATATTTATGTCGCTACTCTCTTCATTCATGTCAATTGATATATGTCGAAATTTTTTCATTGTCGTTTGCGAGAACAAAGACGGATAAATATTGACGTGATAATATTAGACTATGATGGCTGGCTGACTGATGGCATTGTTCTTACTGCCTAACATTTTTCATTATTAATTAGTGGTCTATTCATTAGATCATCCTTCTCTATATCAAAATGCTTATCATGTGTTATCCTCTTTATCGTACGCACTGCCATCTTTAGAATAACACAGAATATGTCAATATATTTGATTTGAGAATATTCACATGAGAACTCTTCTGTTGAATGAGTAACTATAGATGGTGGATCAAGCAATGTTGAACTTATCTTATATGAAATAATAATATGTTCGATGTTAAAATCTTTCTATTGATAATATAATTGTTAGTAACTGTTATTAGAAAACGTCGTTTCTGATAATGATATAGTTTCTGATTCCACGGTCGCCAAAACCAACAACAACAACAATTACAACTTTAATAATTGAAGAATTTCGAAATTATAAATTTTTCGCTGCTCGATTTGTATTAGATGGTGGTAGTGATCCACTCTTGTTCTGGCGAACAAATCGAATTTTTTTGGCACTGGTATCTACTCTAGCTAAAAAATATCTAGCTTCACCAGCTTCAAGTGTTGCGTCTGAGTCTGCGTTCAGCGTCTCAGCTAATTATGGTCGACAACAACGAGCACGATCACTGCCTGAAAATCTTGCTATGTCGGCTTATTTATATGACAAATTCGTCGATGATCCATCAGCAACACTTAACAACAACAGCCATGATATTTAAATAATAATAATACCATTTATAACATGATGATAGTATTTAAACAACAATAATATTTGAACAATAGGAATGACATTTACACGAAAACAGCACCACATGAAAAACAACAACAGCACTTAAATGACATAACATTTGAATTTTTTATTTGTAAATTGATGAGTAAGACCGACGTTTCTCAAAAATTTTATTACAGGTTATCTATTTAGATAAATATGTACTGGTCAAAAAGTATATATGAAAACATCATCTTTTTGAATACAGCAATGTTAATGTACTTGGAGGGTTTTTATTAACATTAAGATTTAAATATGGATATATTGTTCATCATTGAGTCGATCCGTATTCTATTACACTGTCGAAATAGGTTTATTATTTTTGTTTGAATCATTGATAAATGTAAAGATGCTTTTTGATCTCTTCTACAACAATTCAGTTCGAAAGAAAAATAAGTATTTCAATAGTATTATAGAATACGGATCGATTTAATGATGAACAATATATCCATATTTAAGTCTTAGTGTTAATAAAAAAATCTACCAGTACGTTAACATTGCTACATTCAAAAAGATGATGTTTACACATGTACTTTCTGATCAGCATATATCTATCTCAGTAGATAAGTAATAAACTTTTTGAAAAGCACGGATCGTACTTGTTAATTCACTATGATACATTTCTTTTCATTTTTTGTTGTTGTTATATGTGCGTCGATATCAATTATTGTTGCTACAAATTCAATAAAATGCGTTTTTAGAAATAGAGTTGCATATATAACTGTGTATTAGATAAAGCTTAATTTGTTACTCTTAACTTGATTCTTATTTAATAATACTTGATCTGTGATCTTCTAGTTTTTTGCATAAAGATGAATTATTAAATCCACACTATCTCCAGAAGTTTAGATATTTATTTCGCTTCTATGGATAAATAACGTTTCTCATAATCATATTCTTCTCCCGCCATACGGTTATTCTCAATAGTTTTGAAATAGGTGGCGCTTTGCTAATTAATATTGCTATTTTAACATTATTCAGAAGAACTCGCCATAGAATAATAGTACAATTTGAATAAAATTTGGTTGTTTAACATTCGATTCCGCACATGCACTGTTTGATCTCATAATAGAAAGATTTTTCTAATTTTGGTAAAATTTCACATTGTATGAACGGTGGCGCCATCGTATTCAGAAAATGAAGTTATTTCAATGAAAGAAGTGTTCTATATTATTCAACACGACCACTATTAAGTGCGAACTTTTCCTATGAACCTTTTTTTTCTAATTTTATTATATATATACAGATCATATACTCTCACTAGCTTCTATTCAATCGGAAGTTTTATTGATTATTCAGCTATAACATCAATACTTCAAACATTTAATGAATTATTTCTTATCAAAAACAGGATTGTTGATTTTCTTTTCAATGATATTCAATTAATTATCTATTGAATACATTTAACTTCTATCATTTATTGATAAAACATGTTTAATTTTTTTATCCATCGATGAGTTTAATGGATTTCCAACTACGCTCAATCGATTAAGCATAGATGTCATAATGCCGTTACACTGGGTATCGTGATGTTGAAGTCATAATACCCATCGAATTCTTTTTGGGTTATTACCCCTAGGGTATCCACTTCTGTAAAACTATATGTATTACGTTGAGGAATTCGGAGCAGCTGCCTAATTCCACATCGAATATAAACGAGATTTTCGAAGAATCCATTGATGACCTTGAGCCTGCTACAAGCATACATGCGTTTGCTATAACAACTCCTGAGGTTTCTAGCTGCATACCTGAGTTTACTGCAAGAATTTGAGTGCCTCCCAAATATATGCGTTACTTTATCGAATAGTTGGTTGGAATACTTGTAACAAGATGAGGCGCAGTTGCAGTAACCTCTATAAAGTATCTAGCAGGTCAGGTATGTGTTCCGGTACCTGTGGTGTGTCTCGAACGACTCCAGTCGTACTGTCAGCAACGTCAGGTAAAGTTCTCGGAAGTCGAGGAATAATCTTAGCAACCTGATACATGGTTCCAGCAATTTCACGCATTCTTGTTGAAGCCTCGGACATTCGTGTAGTAGAGTTCGGTTTGCTACTAGCAGTGACAGGCTTCCCTCTACCAATGTTACGCATTGTCAGGAATCTATGGCATGCTCCAAAGAATCGTAATTTATACTATGCATTTCAGCCTTAGTAATATGCATGTCAAAATTCGAATTATATAAAATACAATTCAGATAAAATTATATTATTTCCATTTTCCTGTAGCCATATATGTGCCTTAAGTTTCCCTAAGTGTTATTGTGCAGTATATGCATCAATTATATTGAAATTCGTATTGAGCATCTTCTGCGAATTTGAGTTGTTTTGGTATATTTCTTCCAAGATATTGAAGTTGTTACGATTTAGGGTAATACCCCTAAACAACTCAAATTCCTCAACTTATAAATACATAGTTATATGAAAGTGGATACTCTAGGGGTAATACACCGAATGTTTATACAGTATATTTTGCTGGAGAAAAAGTCGTTACCCGGTGTAACGGGATTATGACATCACTCCTAACGGGTGGCGCATAATAAATGGAACAAAATGGGTCGCGTTTTTAAAGACACTCACGAGCACTGGGGATTCTGCTTTACGTTCATTCGATAGTGAATTTTCTGCTCTTCAAATCTATCGTGTTTGTTTTCAAATCTTTATTTTGTGCCTACGTAAAAGTTAACATATGAACACATGCTCAATAGTCCGACTTCGATCTTCAAAAGACCAGAAACTAGTGAAAGATTTTTAATTAAGGTTTCGCTAAAATTTCAAATATTCTACGAAATTCTCCGCAAAATTCTATCACGTTGGAAATATGTTTCAGGACGTAGAAGAAACACTTGAAAACAAATGTTGTGACATGAAAATACTGCTTTTGTGGCAGAATGGCATAATCATTCTTTTTTAGTTCCATGTTACCAAGTTTTTTATTCCTCGATTCAAAAATAATACCATTTTGTTCAGAACTAAATTCTACCCGAGACAACATCAGAATAAATGGCGAATATACCAAATATTACTGTAGAAAACATATTTTTCTAAAAATGCGCCGCAAAATATCACTAGATATAAGCTGAAAGTCTTTTTCTCCGGAACCACAGTATCAGAAACCTTGAAAAACTTACGGAAGTGTAGAGCACAAAATTATCCATCCAATGGTGCCACATTCTTTACTTTTAGCATTGATTCTAATGAGCGAAGGCTTTCACGATTCCATAGATTACTGCAGAAAATCGAAAATAGCAGTTGGACTATTGCACATGTGTTCGTATGTTAAATTTTATGTAGGCACAAAATAAAAATTTGCAAAACAAAGACGATAGTTTTGAAGAGCAGAATCCCCAATGTGTTCGTAAGTCTTTAAAAAAGCGACCCATTTTGTTCCATTTATTATGCGCCACCCGTTTTATACTTAGAAGAACTTTAAAAGGATATTTTTCTTAAAAAATACAAAGAGAACTATTTTCAATTATATTCTATAATAGAGCACTGTATTTGACAAAGGAAATAAACCTTGAGTTGAATAACTCCTTGTTTATTAAAGAAAATTCAGTAGCAAAGTGGCGCTTCTATCAACAAAATGAAACGCTCGTTTAGAGAATTTGATTAGATTTGTTCTGAAAGATTATGAAAACTTGACGTAAAGTAGATTTGTTTTAAATGCGTTTTGTAGATAAGACATTCTACCATTTATTCACTGAACTGATTTTTAATGTTAATTAATTTATAGAATTATCAAGTGTTGTCAAAATTTTTATTTAAACCTAATTGTTTGACGTGAAATCAGTGATATTTTTAAAATAGTCGTGTTTTTGAAAGAGATGTTTAATGAATCTTGCAAAGCTTGTCTTGATCAATTTTGTATATGATCAATACCAATTCGTATAATATTATTTTTTAACATGATTCAATTAAGAAATTGATTTGAATAGCATATTTGATTAATAATTATAACCGACTAAAGGTTCAGAAGAGTCAAAAAATATTTTACATATCATATTTACTTTAATATCTTAATTAATTGTGTTTAAGGTGTGAAAATTAATTAGTTGGTTTTATCCAGAATTATTGTTTCAAAATTTAAATATTGAAAAAATATCTTAATCGAAATGTTTCTTTTTTCTTTATTTAATTAGAATAAATATTTTCTTCAATTTAAATTATAAATTATTAGCTACTATTATTTTTTTTTCTAGTTCTTTTTGTAATATATATTATATTTCAATGAAAGAATAATTATTAAAAATGTGTTTTAGCAAAATTTATTGATCTAGAAAAAGATTCCTTATAAATTGTCTAATTATAACTAAATGAATCGAGTCATTTTTCGAGCTGAAAAATCTTACCATCTAAATTTTTATTATATGAATAAATACTTCTATCGAAATATACGTAAAAATTAAAGAAAATAAGAAGGATAATTGTTATTAGGAAAAACAGGAAATATTGAAAAGATGAGTAACGAACGTATTTAAAATTCCAAGAGAAAAGAAAAATTGATGAAATTCATTCGGCTATTATAAATAGTTTTATTTATATAAATGTTTATAATGGAGCACAAAGAAAAATTACGATTTTTAGTATAGAAATTGAAATTGAATATGAGATTATTATTTCTATTTCAATTGATTATTTTAAATGGATAAATCAAAGTTAAATTTTAATTAATTTATATTCGATTGAATATTAAAGAAAAATAAACAATCAATTGAAAAATACTATTGATATTAAATAATCAAAATAAAACATCATTTACACAATTTTTATCAATAGAACTTCCTAGGAATAGATTATTAGTTTAAATTTTCATTAGCTATTTATTTCTGATTCCGACATGAAACAGAAACAGAAACAGTAAAATAATATGATACCTAATGGAATGCAGTGAAACCTTTCTCAAATATGATTAGAAATTCTTTATATTGACAGCTTTTCGATAACGTCTGTCTTTTTAATGTTGACAGACCGAAATAATTTTGAGTAAAACGAACTATAGGAATTATTTCATTAGAGAGACTGTCATAGTTTTCAATTAACTTCAAATAAAAAAAACACATTTACTTTAAAATGTCCATGGATAATAATGATATTTTGAAATAAGAATGACTTTTATGAAATAAAAGAAAGAGAAACTAATGAAATCCCTAAGGAGGGAAATAATTTTTACTTTTCTCCATGTCCATTATGAAATCATGAAAATGTTTATAAATAAAACGTCTTTTTATTTTAAACTGAGTTCATTTCTATTTCATCTTTTAATTCATAGTTTTGTTTCAATAAGCAACTTTTAATTATTTGTTTTTGTTTTTTTAATTTGAATTTAACGAAATTTATTTTTGGCATAGAAACTAATAAGAGTTTTATCAATAGATGTAATTCACATTGAATCCACCAATTAATATCTATTTCTTTCTCCCATATTTTGTCTAAAAAACTATTTTGAAAAATAATATTTATTCTTTTTTTTTATTTTAGTCAATATAATCATTTTTTGAATCAACTTAATTGCTTTCAATGATAATGTTCTTCCCTGTATTTTGCTTTACTTTATTGGTTATATTTAATGAAAATGTTTCGAGTCGATCAATTTCCTCTTCTATGAATGTTAATTGTACTTATAATCATGATGGACGTCATTTAAAAGAAGGTGAAAGTATTGAAATAAAAGGTAAACTTTATAAAATCGAAGATTGTGATCTTCATCGTGCATATCATGCTTGTGGAACATATCTGTTACAGATGGTCAGCATTGCTTGTGAAGCTGTTGAACAACAAAAAACAAACAAAGTTGATAAAAAACGTTTTCGAAGATTTTTACAACGGAAATTATTGACTGATGCCTGTTGTCACACATTATGTACGGTTGCTGAAATGACACGATATTGTCGTTAGTATTCCCAGGCAACACATTCTATTGTGTTCATTAACATTTTTATTATCATTAAAACGATTATGTATTCAATGAAATAAATACATCCGACAAGAAAGTTTTTTTTGTTTTTGTTTAGTTAAATTATAAAAAAAAAAGAAAACATTTCAATTATTATCAAACATCAATTGATTTTTAATTTATAAATAAAATGTTCACATTGGTTAAATCATATTTTTAAGTTTTACTTGAAATCCCAGATAATCTATATTTATAAGTAAAAGAAAATTCAATTAATTGAAGTATTTCACATTTTTTCCTCTATGACACCTTTTTATATTTATTCTGATTACAGTTTCAAGAAGGAAAAGAAAAATAATTAGACATTCCATTAAATATATTCAACCGATCATGATAAACTCATTTATACTATTTTAAACTAAATCAAATCAAATTTATTTTTCCTTGTTTTATCTCAAGAATTCCTCACTTCTCATTTGTTTCATGTAAGAACTTATTTAAAAAAATGAAAACAAAAATAATTTAATTGAAAGAATTTTCTATTTTAGTTTTAGTTTTTAAGTATAATATAATCTGAATTCTATCTATTCGAAAGAGAAACTATCAATTAGATATTTATATATCTATTTAAAACTAGTCTCTATAGAAATGTATTAGAATCAACATTAGGAAATTTACTTATTTTACTGCGTATTTTTTATTATCTTGTAATGGAAAAATTCGATAAAAATATTGGTTAAAATTTTTAATTGAAATAATTATTTAATATTCTTTAGAAGAGATTTTATCGATCAACATTTTAAATAATAATTAATTTTTTCTATTTGATATTTTTTGTGTCCTTTGGAAAAGTTTAGCAAAAGATCGTTTAGAAGTATTTTCAATTATCACTCAAGTTTCTTTGATTAAATAATTTGCTGCTCTTCATTTTTTTTTTATAATTTATTGTTCTACTTTAGTAAATACGTCTAGTTTTACTACTTATTTGAATGTGAAATTTAATCTAATTTTCATTAAAAAAATGTTGTTTATTTCATCCTATATTTCAATTGATGATCAATATTTATCATTCAACTTAAAAACCGTTTAGTTAATAATTTAATTAATAATTTAGGTGTTTATTTTTCTATGGTAAAATATTTTATTTAACTTTTTAAATCCGAAGTTTCTATTTAGTAAATGACTTAATTTTGATGAAGATTTTCATCGTGGGATCAAAATTTCTTGTTCATAGAACTTCGAAAAAAGTTATTTACGTTTCATAATTGAAATGAATTTCATACTAAATAAAAAGAAAAATAATGATTTCATTTATTTTCTTTCGATTTATACTTTTGTCGCTAAAACAAAAGTAACATTACGTTCAATGATAGAATTCTCCATTATTCGAAATCAGACAACTCTCAATACTTTTTTTCTTAACCAATACGAAAAAACTAACTATGAAAAATGAGATTTACACAGAAAAGTTTAGTCATTTTAAAAATAAATTTCATTTTATCAAAATCTATAATATCAGTTCAAACTAAAGGATCTCAAACAATTCTTTTTTTCTTTCATCAGTTATTTTTCTAGTAATTATGTTGATGCTATTCAAGTTTCCTAAAATATTTTGTCCCTTTTTCTTTAATTATAAAATTTCTAATGTCATGAATAGTCATTCGAAAAAAACGTTCTTATTTTAATTATTTTAAAAATTGAGCCATCAGATATAATTCTGTCCCATATATTAACATTTAATTAGCTCCATCACAAGTCATGTTATTTACATAGACAAGCAGTCACTATTTATTATTAAGAAAAAGAAATTATATTTCTTTATCAACTTATATTAAATAAAATAATTATTCATTTAAGAAATGTCTGATCATTTTAGAAAAAACCTTAATCTTGTGTAACTGAAAATCATTCTCAATATTCTACTCTTCGAAAAAATTCTTTCACCACATTTTCTGTTTTCATTTGATTACGTCAAAATTCAAATTGCGCATTGCCAACACCTGACAAATAATTTTCTATTTAATGAACTCATTTAAATCATATAAGAATAAAAATAATCTGTTTCAATAAAGATAATAAGTTAAAATTTATTTTCTATCAGTTAACAATTTTGACGTAATCAAATGGAAAGATTAAAAAGTAGAAAAATATTTTTGTCATGACTTTTTTTGACAATAAGAAACAAATTCATGTTAAACGACTTTGAGATTTATTTTACATAATAACAAAATTATCTATGTCAAAATCACCTGAATTAAACTTCTATTTTTATATTGAATTGGTTTTATGAAAGAAAAAGAAAATGAACTTAATATTTTTGTGGAAAATACTTAGAAACTTGACCGAAGGCAGCTATTATTAGAAATGCACCTAAAAGAAATAGTATTTTAATTTGTTTCTGTTACGAGACTGTTCAAATGATTAATTAATTAATTAAGTTAATATTATTCAATGGAAAACTATAGTTTCTTTCTCGTGAATAAACGGTAACTTGTTTTCTATGTGAATAACATGACTTCTGCTAAAAAATAATGAATATTTTGTATGAGACAAATTCAGCAGATTTTTTCATCAATTCAATAACTACCTAAACAAGCAAACAAACAAATATAATAATAGATACATCAATATCTAATTAGTTGATTTTCGTATTTCTCAATTTTAATTCAAAAACAAAAAGAAATAAATGTAAACGTAAAAATGTTTATTGCTGAAAAGAGTAATAATTCTCATTGATTATTTCTTACAGATTATTAGTCATTTTCATATCAATTGACTAACAATGTTTCTAGCTGATGATCAAAAACTAAGATTAGAAAACTTAAGTATTTATATGTTTTTATATCAAGTAATGAATAATAAGCAATTAGATTTATTGTCTAAGTTGTTATGGCATACCTAGAAAATCATCTACGTATATTTATCTTTCTTCCTATTTAATTGTCTACTAGAGATAAAGAATCTGTCTGTCATTTAGCAGGTCATATATTAGAGAAAGCTGATCAAAAACAAATTTTACATTCTGAGTAGTACATCTGTATCGAATTCAGTAGATTACTATCTATCGACCAATGCAACTATTTCTTTCAAACCTTAGGCCAAACATTTATTTTTCCTCTGCTCTAATCTAATTTTTCTATTTTTATTTTCGAAACAATTTTTATTAGTGAATAATATTTCAACGTATCAATATAATTATATTTAAAACTGATTTAAATTTATGTCAATGAATATTGTACGCGTTTCGATACAAAGTGAGTTACTTCGTAGATTTTTACATCATTTTAGTGTATAAATTTCAGATTAATTAAGTCTTAAATGTTTTCAATTTATTTAAAGTTAACATAGTCAATTCGTTTTTAAGTCCGTATTTAAGAAGTTTTCGTAGAACATAATATAAATAGAAAAATCGTTAAGAATTTCGATATAAACTTTTGATTGAAGAAAACAATTATGAATTTATTTTTTACAGATAATTCAAATTTATTGATTATATCGACAGTGAATTTTTGACAAAGTCAAATTTTCTATTTTGATAGTTGAACAACTGTTTTAAAATTGAATTTTTAGAGAAAACAATTAGTTGGAAGATGACAAGTGGTTCGTAATGGAGCTGTACTATTAATCCATTTATTTGAGTGTCTTTTCTATTAGACTTCAGTTTTCACAGTAAAACAAACGAGTGAAACTTAAAAAAAAACGATCTGTTGTTTGATTATAGCGATGCCATGGGCAAAAACTGTCTTATACACACACATATAATATCAACCAAGAAAATTAATCAAAACAAAGCACAAGATAGAAGAAGAAGATCATCTGAATAAGTGTTCACTATGATTGATAAGAGAAATGAGGAATTTTCTTGATATTAATTATTTTATTCTTGTTTTTGGAAGATTATTCTATTTCATTGACACTTTCTCTTCATCCAAACAATTACAAAAATGATGACGACTGTTCTAAACGAAAAAAAAAAGATCAGATGAAAAACTAATCGATTCAAGCAATGCTGTTCAACTAAAATTTTCATTTTTTGTTGGTTTAAATATAAAAAAATTGTTTTTAAAAGTTACTTAAACATGAGAAATCCTGTTTTCTATGATCAATCAATTTATATTTTATGTTTCATTTATCATCAAAATTGAATCTAATCTAGATAAAGAATGATTTGATATTTCATGTAACTATAAATCAGCAAAAAAACAATAATTAGTTAAAAATAACATCATACTCTCATCTCATACGAAAGAATCAACTCGCTGTTCTACTGTGAACTTTATTTTACTTAAACATTTCAACGTATAAATGTCTAAATATTCAAATGATTGATTTTAGTAATCGTTTTCATCTCTTTTTTTCTCTCTCACACCAGATCGGAACTATAATGAATAATGGTGTTATCGATTGAGAGAAACAAAATGAAATTTGCACAAGTTTATAGCCATAAGTTAGATATTTGTGATTTTAAACATGAATTTAAAAAAATCTTTTCTATTTTTCAATATTGCGCAAAATTGCTCGAAAAATAAAAAGTGCAAAAATTTAATAAATTAATTGTAGACAGATTTCTATTCAAATATAAAAATTAATGATAAATTAAGAATAAATTATTTTTTTAATTTTATTTATTTTAGCGTTAATATAAAAAGAAATGTATAATCTATGTTTTTCATTTCGTTCTTTTTAAATTAGAATAAGCATTTTTTTTTCTTTTTTCACTGAATTATAAACGAATAATTATTTATTCTATATCTCTATAGAATAATTTTCGAAGCAATTTTGCTTCTTGAGCCATTTCATCGTCACTTCTCCAGCCTTTTGCTTTTTTATCATGATGAGCCAACTAAAATTAGAATAAATAATAAAAATAATTTCTCTCTCTCTCTCTCTCTCTTTAAATAACCTCATGATAAATAGTGTCATTTTCTTCAAAATCAGACGGCTTTCGAGGAAGAATATGAACATGAACATGCTAAAACGAAACAAAAATTTAATTTATTTTCTTTATAATTAAAATAAAAGAATATATATACTTTAACAGTTTGTCCTGCATATTCTCCATCTTGTATAGCAATACTTAATGATTTTCCTTGATAGAATTCTTCAATTTTTGTTGAAACTAATTGTGTAGATAAAAATAAATCATTTATTTCTTCAGGATATAATTGAGAAAATCGTTCGACACATCGAATTGGTGATACAAGTACATCTAGATTTAATTATATTTAATTAAATTTGTAAAATAAATATTTTAACTAACGTCCGGGTACAATAGGTTTTTTATTAACTAAACCTATACTTAATGTTGAACGAAAAAAAATTTGACTTGCTGTTATTTCTAATTGACCCCAACGAATTTTTTCATTATTGATATTCTTGATTGGTACTAAAATAATTTTATTTTTCTTAAAATTGAAAAATAGAAAATTTTGTTCTTACCAGCTATGTTTGTTGATGATATTAATGTATATAAATCTTTTCGACGATGTTGAATTATTGGCATTTTTTCTCTAACTTGTTCAATATATGAAAGATCAAGATCAATTGTTCGAATTGATGGCGAATCCAAATTCATATCCAAAAGAATTTTTCCCCATGGATCAACAACCTAAATTTAAAAATAAGAATCAATTTATTTTATTATATTTTAATAATAACTAAATAATACAAACTAAAGAATGTCCATAAGATTCACGCTTAGTATTGTGAAAACCAACTTGAGCAGCAGCAACAACAAAACATTGATTTTCAATAGCACGAGAACGAAGTAATATCTAAATTTCAATTTTTTTATTCAATTTTATGAGAAAATAAAATATTTGAAAACATTTTAGTTTTGACTATTTGGGGCAAAAAGCAAGCTTTTTTAACATGAAAAAGATTAATTTTCGCTTTTTTTAATGAAAAAGTTAAAATTTAATCAAAGAAAAAACGAGAATAGAAATCACTAATAAAAGCAATTTTTTTATGCTATAAGATTAATTGATGGTTTACGAAAAAAATTGTTTCAATTGAAAAATCATTTTTCCATCGTCAAAAATAAAGAAAAAAATAGTTCTGACATTCTAATTAAATCATAAATTGAATTGTTCGTATTAAAGATTATGAATATTGAGGAAAATATAAAACTTTAAACGAGTATTCTGATTGAATCATTAGCGGACTCGATTAGTGTTTGCAATTCTTAAATTGGATAATAATTCGATTTTTTTTTGCAAATCTTTTTAAGTTCGAATGTCAAAGAAATGTGATTAAATTATTTAAATAGCTGTTTACCTCCCAATGAGCTTCTCCAGTATGTTTAGTAAAAGCACTTGGATATGTTAGAATTTGTGCACCATCTTCAGGCGAAACTGTTAATAGTCGAGCAAATTCAGGAAAACGAAGATCATAACACTTAATTAAAAGAAAAATTATAAAAAAAGAAAAATAAAAGAAAAATTTTACAATTCCAAGGCCAATTCTTCCACCCGGTGTTTCAATCGGTTTAATAATTGATGAGCCAGCTTGTGTATAATCTGATTCTTGAATCCTTAAAGAACCAGCTTGAACATCAAATAAGTGTATTTTTGAATAATGGCTAACGATTTCACCTCGATCATTTATTATTAAATGACTGTTTAATATTCGATCTTCAACTTCTGTCTTAAGATTTATTTTATTTAAATACAAAAAGATAAAGATAAAAAAAGTTTAAATACGAACTCGTTGATGAAAACCACCTAATGAAATCCATAATTGATTTTCTTTTGCTAATCTTCTATAACCATTGATAATTGGGCCATCAATTGTTTCTGCTTTTTCAAGTGTTAATGATTTTGATTCACATATAAAATCAAATCCTTCAGGAAAAAATACAATCTATTCAAGATTTTATTTTTATTAATAATAAGAAAACGGAAAAAAAGAAATTCTTTTTTGTTAATTTATAAACTAACTTTGGCTTCTTCTTTTTTTGCTTGTTTAATTAATTCTTCTCCAATTTTGAAATTAATATTTTTATCATCCCGACAATTCAATTGACAAACACCAATACGAACTATTTTACTCGACATTGTTCGATAATTTAATATTAATCTAGATAATCCTTTTATTATTAATTTATTAAACATTTAATTAAAATTATCTTTTCATCTTTAAACAAATAAATAAATTTTAGTTTTTTTTCTTCGAAATTTTCTTGCGAATTCAATCTAGAAAAAATATTCTTTCTTTTTCTCTCAGATAAAAACGTTTATCAATAAAACATACTGAAAAGCATTTGAAATTTTTTTCTTAAATACGATTAAAACTTGTTTATAATTTATCAAATAATAGTTCTACTAAAGTTCTAGCAATATTTCTATCTAAAGAACAGAATTTTATGTATGTTTAATATTCGATCTAACAGAATTCATATCATCTATTAAATATTAATTAGAAATAAAAATAAAAATAAATTATCTATCTGAAATATATCAGGAGAATGATTTATTTTTTTACTTTCCAAAACAAATGTTTATTAAAAGAATAACAAAAGGAAAAGTATAAATAGATATTTTCAAGAAAACAAAGGATCAATGAAATTTTTTTATCGTGTTTTTAAATAAGAATTCAATTTAAAGAAAAGAAACTCAAACCAAATGTAAATTAAATAGGTTGAGTATTAATTTCAAGCCATTCTAATAAACTTTCTTGAAGATTTTGCTTTTTTATTTCATCACCAATAAGTTGACGAACTTTTTCATGATATTTATTTATATAATCAATCTAGAATATAAAATCAAACTATTGTTATTATAATAAATAAAAATCAAACAACAAACTTCATGATCAGTTAATAACGATCGATCAATTAATTTTGTTTGAATAGGAACCATTGTTAATTGTTCAAACGTTAACCAATTTTCATCATAATAAGCATACTAAGTAGAATTATTTATTTATTTAAATAAATCAATAATTGAATAACTAACTTTCGAATTTTTCTTAATAACAACAACACAATTTTCAATTCGAATACCAAATTTATCATCAAGATAAAATCCAGGTTCTTTTTATGTCGAATAATAAAAAAGCCAAATTCTTTATTATAAGAAAAAAATATATAAATAAATGAACCAACCATCACTAAGAATCATTCCTGAAACTAAATAATTATCCGAACGTATTCGAGTACCAATTGATTGAGGACCTTCATAATTCAATTGAGAAATTTGAGGAAACAATAAAAAAAAGATAAGAATTTCTAAAAAAAACAAAAAACCTTCGTGAACATTCAAACAACAACCAACACCATGTCCTGTTCCATGTCGATAATCTAAACCAACATCCCAAAGTGCACGACGTGCAAATGAATCAAGTCGAGCACCAGTTGTATTTGGTGGAAATAAACATGATGCTAATGATATAAAACCTTGTAATACTCGAGTGAAACATTCCTAATTGTTTCAAAACAAAATTCTTTTATTTTTGTTGCAAATAAAAAAACAGAAAAACAAACTTTTTCAAAATCTGTTGGTTGACCAAAATGAAGAGTTCGTGTTACATCTGTTGTTCCTTCTCTTAAATAAACATTTAATTTGAAAAAATATACAAACAACGATTGAATGAAATCACTTGTATTGTCCACCTGAATCAACTAAATATAATTCATTTGAAGTTATTGTTTTATCAGATTCTTCTGTGGGTCTATTAATTTAAAAACGAAACAAAAAAAAGACTAATATTTTAAATAGATCAATCTAATAAAAGCATATATTAACTTGTAATGAATAATTGAAGCATTTTTTCCACTTGCAGATATTGTTTCAAAACTATCATAAAGATAATTTTGTTGTTGACTTAAGAATTAGAAAACAAGAATATATGAAAAAAAGCGCAAAAAAACATTTCATTTAAATAAAACCATCGAAATAATCTTAGTTTTTCTGCACCAGATAATTCAGTTATAGTTTCATTGTTTTGAATCTAAAATCAATTTTTATTTTGAAATTAATGAAAAGATCACGACGAAAAAACGAACATTTTCTTCAAGCCAATGGATATATGAACAAAGAGCAACTCCATCTTTTATCTAAATAAAATAAAATATTTAATATTCAAATAATTAAAATCAATTTCTTAAAATAAAATAAGAAAACTTACATGAGATTGTTTCATTCCTTGAATTTCACATGGATTTTTAATAGCTTTCAATTCATAAACAATATCATCTTGTATCACTAATTGTTTCTTATTGAGGAAATCGAAGAAAAATGAAACGAAATTTTAATAATTAGAACAAAAAGTAGAATTAAAAATATACTTTAGGTATAATTGTTTGCACAGCATAATTGCATGATGGTGATACCTTAAATATATATGTACATTTCTTTATTTAGTTTATTTTAATAAATTTACAAAAAATTTATGTGATGGATCTTGAAATTGGACATCTTTTTTCAATTGTTCATAAAATAAATCATAGGAATAAATTTGAATATTTTCATTTTCAAGATCGTTTTTTATTGATTCCGATAATTTATTTAAATCGACAAATAATCTTAAAAAAATTCCTTTAATAAGAAATCCAATTAAGAAAAACTAACTTGAGATGATCAATTGAAATAATAGAGAATGAAAGAAAAACAGGATTATATGGAATATCACCACCGCGTAAATTGAATAACCCTTTTTGTTTTGTTCGTATAAATCAATAAAGTCAGTTTTTGTTTTGATTAAAGAAAAAATCTTACAAGCAATATCATCTGTTCGATGTAATATTAAATGATTAACTTGATATTCATTCATTTTTGTACGAACTTTCAATAGTTTTTCACTAATTGAAGCACCTTTTGAGAGAAAATTTTCTTAATTTTTTCCTTTTAAATTAAATTAAATTAAAATCAAACCAGAAAATTGAATATCATGTTTCCATATGGATTCTTGTGGTAATTCTGGTCGTTGTTTATTCCATAAAATATCAATAAGATTAATTTCAATAGGTACAAGTTGCTTATCGGCTTGTTCAAGTGTATCTTTCCATTCTTTCCATTCATTTATTGATAAAAGTTGAGGATCACATCCAACAAAGGAGTTTTTTTCTAAATTCTAAAAAAATTAAATTGAAATAAAAGAAGCTAATAATTGAAAATTTACTCTTGCAATCCAATTCGCAATTGAAGGAACATCTTTTGTTCCATCACGCATTAATTTCCAACATGTTGAATCCAATTCATGTTCAGCTTGACAAAAATATCTTCCATCAGTCCATAAAAGAGCTTGATCATCTGTTATAACGGCTGTACCTATTTTAAACATATAAAAGCTGTAAAAATGATTTTTATTCAAATGATGAATGATAAAAACCATTTGATCCAGTAAAATTTGAAATAAATTCTCGTCGTTTATAACGATCAGCAACATATTCATTCTAATCAAACAAAATTAATTTATAAAAATAAAACAAACAGAAAATAAATAATTGAATAACAAACTTTATGTGGATCCGTTGTTGGAACAATATAAGCATGAATTATGTCATTAAAATATTTTTTAGATTTCATTAATTGACGAAGATTATTTAATAATACCGATGATGAATTCATCTTAAAAAGAACAAAGAAAAAAAGAATTAACAATCATTATGATCATCATCAGATATATGAAAATTATTTAAAGGAGAAGTTTTTTCAAAAATTTTTTGTAAACTAATTAATTTAATGTGTAGTTCAATAAGACGTTGTCGTTTATTTATAAATCCATCGCTATTTTCACATTTGAAAAATTCTTCAACTATTTTTGATGCTTTTTCATTTGTCTAAAATGAAAAAAAAACAATAAATTCTTTTCTTTTTCTCCTGCTTATCGTTTAATTAAAAATAAAAACAAACTTTGTCTTCATTAAATTGTTGTTCGAGTAATGAAAATTTTTCTGATACTATTTTAAGATAATCAATCAAAGAATTATATTCTGGAACAAGACGATTATATTCGTTTTCAGCTTGATCAATATTATATTCATCAGAAAACTCCATTGCATTTGATAACCTTAATAAAAAGAGATATCTTTTCTTGATTTTTAAAAAATGTATATATACATATTTAACATACTGATCATTTGATTTATCAGAGTGTGATAATGCACTTGAAATTTTATCCAACATATCTGATACTAAACACAAAGAAAAAATTAAATTTAGTTTATGCAAGATCAAACGAAAAACAAATGAGACCATTCAAAAGACTTTTTTCGATTTTAAAAATTAACTTACATTGTTGAATACGTTCATCACATAATGAATTATCTACTGCTGCTTTTGTTGTTAGAGTTTCTTCATTCTCTATTGAACTTTGTTTATCAGTTATTGTTGTTGTTGTTAAACGATTTGTTGATAAATTTAATTTTGCTTTTGTTCCACTGGATGATGTTGTTGTTGAAATTTTATTAGTTGAATTTGTATTTGTATTTGTCAATGATGGTCGATTTGATATTGATGATGGTAACGATGAAGAATTCTAAACAACAATAAATTAATATTTTGCTTTTCGTTTGTTTAATTTTTGTGACAGATTTTATTAATTAAATTTCCTTCATTAAGATAAATTTTATTGTTTTTCATGATGATTCATCAGCATATTCGATTAGAAAATAGTTTATTTACTCACTTATCTTATTTATATTTAATTGTTTTTTAGCATTAAATAGATGTTAAAATATTCATTTTATTTATTCTAATATTAAATCAAATACAAATACAAATTATTTTAATAGTTGTACAAAAGAGAATATCTATTATTTATAGAAATATAAAATATTTTAAAAATTGAACACATTAGGAGCTTCTTAAAAGATATATTATACAATTCAATTGTAATATACATATATATATATTTGTTCATGTATCATTTATCTTGATACTTCCTCTTATCTATCAATAGTACCGTTAACTTTTTCCTAACCAATAATTTATTTTCAATTATTATCCTAGAATCCTTTCATAAAAAATTTAGTCAAGAGAAAAGAAATGAAAATCTAAAGGTGGGAGATACTGCGTCTATAGATCAAATATATTATGTATTTATTTCGAACATTGAAAAAACATAGATTAAGACTCCAGTAGTGTCACATATCCAAAATTTTGGAGATACCGCATCTCACGCAAGAGATATGGGTGTGGGTGTGGGAGATGCGCATCTCTAAAGGAGATCTTACGTATCCAGTGATGAATGACCACATCTCCAAAATCTTGGATATGTGACACCACTCTCTAAAAATAATCTGAGCAATACAAACATCAGTTGTTGTTTTATTAATTGTTGATCTTGCTGGATTATTTTGATGTTCTTTAATTTTTCTATTGTAAAAATAAACAAATAAATTTATCAAAATAGACTTCGAAAGTAAATAAATAAATAATTAAAACAAACTTTTGAACAAATGATGCTTCTGCTTTAGGATAAAAAGGCCAATCATAATTAATTTCACCGCTCGTTAAGATATTTGTTAAAAGATAAAATTCTCCTGTTTTGGATTGTGTTGATATTGATGATAATAATGTATCTAGTTGGTCTTTTTCATCGTCACGTATTCCACCATCTTATTCAAAAAAAAATTTTAAATTAAAAATAAAAATAAGATAAAAACAAACCTTTTTTCAATCGAAGAAGAAGTTCAGGTTTTCTATATACTTTAGCGGCTAATATATGAACAAGACGTTCTCTTTTAATTAAAAATAAAAGTTAGAATATATTATTTATTTTATTTTTCTAATAAAACCTTAATGGTCTTTCACACGATAACAATTGATTATTAGTTGGGCTTAAATGCAGTTCTAAATTTATTGTTGGTCTTGCTTGTCTTGGATTAGTTAGTGTTGTTGTTGTTGATGTTGATGAACGTTTATTTGATGGTTTGTGTATTTTATTTTGTAAGATTGTTTGAGTACTTTCACCAATTTCTTTTGTTCTATTATTTCAATACAGTAAAATACAAGCAATTAATTAAAAAGAAAATAAAGTGACAAACTGTTTTTTATTTTGTTCTTCATTTTTTTTAGTAACATTTGTTATTGTCATACTATAGACATCTTCTTGCGCATGAATATTAAGTCTTTGTTCAATAAGAGCACAACTTTCAAGTTGACTAAAACATTTAATTTAATTTAAATTAAAATAAAATAAAATGATTACTCTCGATTTATTTGTTTAATACATTGAAATACTTCAGGTGTTTTATCTTCTGGTGATATATTAAATGAATATGTCTTTCTATCAGCATTTGTTGTGGGAATTGATATTTCCTTTTATATTTTTAATATAGAAACAAATTCATTAGAGAAACAATGAATATATACATATCTAAATCCTTACTCCTCCATTAAGATTAAACTTTATAATTGGTTTTGTATTGGAACTTAATTTTTTATTTGTCTTAATATATGCTTCAATTGTTTTCATACATGAATCAGTTAATTTAACAAATATATGCATTTTCCCATCATTATTACTTGATGCATCTTCATTCAACCAAAATTTATGATTTCCAGGAAGATTTCGATCCATTTTATTTATTTTTATCTAAAAACAAAAGTTTTCACCTTTTCGGTATCTATTTTTTCATTGTTGTGTCTAAATAAAATAAGTTTTCTATGGATTTATTCAAATTTCAAGACATTAGTCTAATTTGAGCAGATTATTAATTTCATTTTCAACTCCTATCAAAAATAAATATCGGGGAGAAATTCAATTTTCTTTTTAAAAACAACGAGGAACTTTTTCGTTTCAAAGTTTTCTATAAGATGAATCTGGATATTTTTAACTACACGATAGAAGACAAATAGTAATAGAAGATTTTTATTTGACTAGAAAAAATGGAAACTTCTTTAGTATCTGAAAGCATTTCCCAAAAAAAAAAACAATTACTTTTTATCGTATAAAATGTTGGCAAACAATAAAACACAATTATGTAGATTTCAAAAATTTCTATAATACAAACGTCAAGTAAGAAATATTGTTGCAATTGCTCCACATTTCAGGGCGATTTTAAATAAAACAAAAAAAGAATCCTTTTTTAATCAATTTCTAATTGGTTTTACATTTCGAGCAATACTATATAATATCATCAATATATATATCAAGAAAAATATATCCGATATATAGTGACATCTAAATATATAGCTATATACACGTATATTATCGATACTGTCTTAGGAATATATTTCGATTTGAATATGTGTTTATATATTTGTTTAGTATAGAAAAGAACAAGATTATAAATTGTCAATATTCGATAAAATAAAGCTTCTATTTTTTTTTCTAAGCATTTATTTAATGGATTGATAATGATTTAAAGTAGATACTCAACATTATTAGTCAAACTGATGAGACAAACTACAACGACGACGACACTCGAAAGTTTTATTTTATATTTTTGTTTGTCTAGACAAATAAGTTAAGATAACATAATATTTAAAAATATTCACACGTTTCTCATGGTATCTATAGAACAAAATTATAATTATCAATCAATTTGAAAAGATGATCATATTGAATTTATTCATTGAAATAATTATTATCAAAGAAATGATTAGTTTATATGATAATATTGATATTGACATATATATATATATATATATATATATTTTGCCATAAATAAGATTATTTTATCTTCTATTTTATTCTTTTGCTATCATCAAGTCTAGTGAATAATTAATCTAAATAGTAAGTATTTTCTTGATAGGATAATCTTTATTTGTTTCTATATGGATCATCAGTGAGCCACAAATGTGTCAATCATTTTCTTTTTATATCAATAAGAGAAAACGAATGTTTTCATTTGTGTTTGAAGAAGAAAAAAAACAGATGAGAAGATTGTTTATTTAATAAACTTGTTTAGTTCATCGAAAAGGATATGTTTATATATTCATATTCAAACATATACAATTAACTTTTCAGTTTAGAAATAAAACAGACCACTTCACTGTCTTTTTCTTACTTTTTTCTTTAGATTTTTCAATATTTAATCAAATAAATCTCTAACATCTGTATTGAAGAAATAAAGAAGAAAAAACTTGATTTAAAATATTCGATGATGATGCATTTAATCTGATGATGCCTATATATGTATCTATTGATTTCTATTCATGATAATGAAAGATGATCTGTTTTAAATAATAACAGATGAACATAGGAAAAGTATTCGATATTATTTAGCAATTATATGTATATATTTAGTAGAAATACATACAGCGTTTTTTCTCTCTAAATATATTGATCTAAAAGGTTTGACACTCGTTTTATGTTGAATATCTAAATAAAAGAAGAAGAAAAAAAAAGGCGACACCTGTGAGATGGAACAAACGTTCTTTTATTGTTTGACAGGTCACGCGAACAACAAAGATTGCATCACGATATACCAAAGTTAATTCATTTAAATTGACGCTTTCTTTTTGTTTTATCTGATGATTAGAAGAGTAAAGAGAAATGGAAATGGAAAAAAGACGAGAAAAGAGAAAAAGAATGATTATTTCTTCCTCAATATAAATGATAAGAAAAGATTAACTTTTCTCTGAAAAAAGGTGATAATAATCGATTTTCACAGTTCTGACCATCTGCCTCTATCATCTCAATTTTCATTCGAATATATTTTATGATGATGAACATTGCTTTTAATCCAAATAAATTCAATGTGAACGAAAACGAATGATCACTAATTTATATTTTCTCTTGTTTTTGTTTATTTTTTTCATATTGAATAAAGAAAGAAAATTGTTCAATAGAATAGAATAAAGACACAGAAAAAAGAAGAAAAAAAGATACAACATAAAGAATACATATATAAAGATAAGTTGATGTTCACTGTATTGACCGGCGATTGTTATTTATGATGATTTTATTTTTTGTTTTTATTTTTTAATCAATCAATTGTTTTTGTTTTCAAATTGGAATGAGAATATCTGACACTTTCAAATGAATGTGATTCAACGATCATTTAAAAGGTTTAAATGCACCAACTATTGTTTGTACTTTTTCTAAGAAAAAAACAAAAACAATTATTTTATTTATTAAGCGAAGAAATTTCATTGAACAGAAACCTTGTGGCGATGTTGGAGATGAAGATGGTGACGGTGTTCTTGATGACGATGAAGATGATGATATTGAATAAGATCTCGTTTCTTGTTGTTTATCAATAGCTGATTGATTGATTTTATTATTATGATTTTTTTCTGCCATATCAGCAAGCGACCAAATTCCACAAGGCTTTTTTCTTTCTTGAATTTCATTTTCGTCGAATTTTCTTTTTCGATTTATTTCATCTTCAAAATTTTTATTTAAAAAGTAAATTTATTTTACTTCTTGAAGAAATTAAATAAAAAACCTGTGTGAATATTTTGTTGTTGACTATTATGATGTTGAATTATACTTAATGGATTTGATAAATAATGAATATTAGATAGGAATGACGTTGGTCCTGTTGTTGTTGTTAAAGGTAGTGGCGGCGGCGGTGGTGGTGGTGGTGGATGCAGCGATTGTTGCTGATGGTGTTGTTGTATTGATGAAGAATTAGTTGTTTGTGTTGTTGGACAAATTGATTCATCATCAGATTGATCACTATTTGATCCTAGTCCATGTCGATCATCATCATCATCAGTTGTTCTTTAATTATAAGAAAATTTTTGCAAAAGAAAACGTAAATATTCGAATGAAAGCCTAAAAAACGAACTAACCTATTTCTTGGAGACCAAGTCATTTTATTTTCTTTTTTTAATCTTCTTCGAGCATTAGCAAACCACGTTGAAACTTGTGTTAATGTCATTTTGGTCATAATAGCTAAATAGACTTTTTCTGATTTGGTTGGATAAGGATTTTTTCTATGTTCATATAGCCATGCTTTTAATGTTGCTGTTGTTTCTCGTGTTGCATTTTTTCTTCTACCAGCTAAATCCATGTGAGGAGAATAACTAAACGAATAATAATAAGAGTAGCTAATAAATCTAAATGTTCTCAAATTCTAATGTGTCTATTTGGAAAATGATCTCATATGATCATTTTCTATGCATCAGTTAGAAAAAAGAAATAGATATGCATCGTTTAGAGACTATAACATTCACTTCATTAGACTCCAGGCGATTCTTCGTCTTCGTCTTCATCTTTTTTTTGTTTCTCTAAGTGATTCCATTTATTTGACTAATAGAACTCATTTGAAAATATCTATTTTAAGAGAGAAAATATATATTTCATTGAAATAAAAATCTTTTGTTTTCCTATGTTTTCTTGTTTAAATAATGAATAAAACATAAAGAAAAAGCAGATGTTCAGAACAATAAATATCTCTATCTATGATTAACAATAGTTTCAAATGATTATTCTCGATTCTCAATTCAATATTGATAAATAAATTCGAGCTTTACCCAGCTGCATAAGGACCATAACCAACTAAAGCAACAGCTGTTGCTGCATCATATACATATGGATTTGAATATGGATTACGCCATGGATTACCATTGACTAAACTATTACAATCTTGATTCAATCCCATTACATTTACACTTGAATCCTTTTTTTTTTGAATTAAAAAGAAAAAGTATATTTTTTGTTTTATATTAGTTTAATATCTACTTTAATTGTTGAATATGGATTTGAATCAGATGGATTAAGACCAGCAATCCTTAAAACGAATCTTATATTCACTTTTGATTTTCTTAATAAAAAGTAAAAGAACTTACATGATCAATGATCAATATTATTATTTCAAGGAAAAAAAAAGAAATAAACAAAGAAATCTGAAGTACACAAGAAAAAAGAAAGCGAGAAATTAGTTTGATATGCAAACATAATTTTGCAAGTGTTGCGACAAGAATGCGAACAGTCGTTACAGTTGCTTTTCTCTTTCTTTCCTAGTTACCAATCTTAATATTTTGTTAAACGAATCGGCATTAGAAGAAAACGGAAAAGAGAGATCGACAGGGCTGACATTGAGAGACACTGAGAGACAGAACGAGAGAGAGAGAGAGAAAGGGAGAGGAGAGGAGAGAGAGAGAGAAAAAAACACGCTCGTCTGTTAGTTAGTTTGTCAGACACGATCGTTACTCTCTTCTATCCGCTATTTGTCGATGAATTCAAGAAGAAAAAAATCCGATTGGTTGACAAGTCGTGTGCCACTGCAACGAGACACGATGTTTTACATTCTTGTTCGAGTAGCTTGTTAACATCGCCAACGGGTGGAAGACAGAACAACTCAACTACTCTTTTTACTCATTGGATGAAGAAAACGAGAGAAAAAGAAAAAAACCGGCAACCATCACAAATACATTTATTAACAGAAAAAGAAAAAAAGGAAGAAAAGAAACAAATATATATATATATTTCTGCTATATATTTCTGCAGAAGGGCAAATACTACTTAGAAAAGAATACTGCCCTAAGTAAATGATGGAGTCATTGACGAAGAATCATCTTCGTCTATGTTAAATCAACATAAAGAGAACGACGTCAATCGATTTTTTTTCTCTTTTCTTTTTGCATTCAATAAGCAAATACTTTGTTTGTTGATCAATATCAGTTCGATGGAATTATTCATTCAATTTTAAATTGCAATTTGTTTATAAAATTCACCAACTAATTTCATTGAATAATATTTTTTTTAAATAGAAAAAATAGGAAACATAAATAAAAATGATGTAGAACTACAACAAATCGAATGGTGAAATCCTTTTCCGTTATTAGTCTAATTATCAAAAAAGAAAAGAAAAGAAAAGAAAGTGTCTGTTGTTAAATTGTAAATGATAGAAATAGACGGGGGAAAAAATGATTGATGAGACAAGCAATATGCATTTTCTTCCGGTAGTTTAATATTGTGGAATTGCTTATCTTGTTTTACATAATCATTTCAGAATAGATAAGTACCTTTCAACACTTTCACAAATGCCGGAAACTTAGTTTCTTTTTCTTTTTCTTTCTCTATTTTTTCATCAGTGAAATTTCAATAGAAACAAAAAAGTTGACCAACGATAATTGACACTTGTGTGTTGATTGAATTGATCATATTGATATTTGATGAGAATCAAAGAAATTGAAGCGCACATACTACTTAAAAGAAAAAGATTGTTCAAGTGAATAAGACTTTGTTCTTAATAAGATCATATACGTATGAATAAAAATCTAGACATTGATCTACTCGAAAGTCAATAAAGCGAAATATAAACTCGTATAGAAATATCTCAGTTAGTTCCGGAATAAATCCAATAGAATGGAATGCCGTGTCCGACGAGTAGTCGACTCATGAACAAATTAACTAAAGAGTGTCAGCGCATGATCGGGCTTTTCCGTTCATCTTTTTTTTTACTTTATCATATTTCCTATGACCTCTATTCAATCATTGAACCAATCGTTAGTTATTGATAAAAAAAAAATGAGATAGACAGAAAAAAAAGAAAATAACAAAAGACAATGATGTTTTTCAGTGAATGTATTTTCATGATGAATGAAAGTAATGAGGAGGCATTTGATAAAGAAGAAAAAGTTTGATCATATTTTAATCCCACTTGACGGCACAAAGGTGTTTCTCTATTGATGATTATTGAGTGTCTATAAACAAAAACAATAAGAATAGATTGACCACTTTCTTCTCTATTCTAACAATTAGCGTGATAACAATCTATTCATCTGATCTCATCTCATCTAAACTAGTCAAATAGAGAATTGTTTCTAGTCGGACGGCGTCTGTCGTTAATAAGCAAAGTGTAGATCAACTTCCGAATGATGATGATGATGATCATCATCTGCTCTATGAAATCTTTGTTCTTATCGTTCGTTTTCCCATATGTCACTCTCTACAATCATAGAAATAACAAAAGAAAAAGAAAAAGCAACACATATCCGTTGCCGACATATTTCTCGTAGTATTTTCTATAATTTATCATAAAAAGTTCAACCACTATTTTACTTTTTAATGTTATTAGTCATATCTATATTATTATTATTATTCTTTTCAACGTTGATTTCTTGTGTTGTTCTCTAAATTTAGATATTTTGTTGAGGAAAAGATTTTTGTTTGTATTATTGATATATGTTTCTCTAAGTTGTAATTGACGATAATTGAATAAGTGAAAGTTATGATAGAATGTTTTTTTTTTGTTTTTCCTTGCAAAGTATATTCGTATTGAATAATCTTTTAAAACAACATTCAACGTATAAGGTGGGAATATAATCAATGATGATCAATAATTGACTAATTATCTTTGATTTTAAACAGAAACCATATGTGAAGATATCATTGCTTTTCCCCCCTTTTTCTTCATATCGAACTCTCATCATCATTTGACTGATTAGTTTTCTTTTCGTTTTATCAATAACAGAAACAGAAACAGAAGTTAAAGTCTATTGTTACGCTTATTTAACCATAGAAATAATAAAATTTGTTCATGGAAAAAAATAAATCGAAGAAGCTTTCGAATACTGCTCGTAGATTCGTTCAATGATAAAATTGAATTTTGCTTCAATTTCTAAATGAGAAATATTAATAGTCTTGATCATTCTTTTATTTAAATCTTTCAAATATTCGTATAGTGATAAAGAATTATGTTTTTTTTTATAGAAGAAAGAGTAAAAGAAAATAATAAAATATTACTATTATATATATTTCATGTTGTACAATTCATCAGATAATGTTAGTCAAATAAGAAATATTAGAAACTTAATCTTAAATGTATTTTATTAATTCGATCGTTTGATTCATTTATTGTTTTTTTCCTCAAATAATACTATCAATTAATAATTTTACATAATAACAAGACTTGAATAAATATCTTTTTTTATCTACTTTTTTATTATTGATAAATAAAATCTTTTTCGTAAGCAGATTTTATCGAACGATTCATTGTGATTCGAAAATATTCTATTCAAACCATAAATATTATTTTATGTTCAATTTTATCTAATGATAGATTTTCAAAAAAAATCAATGAATAAAGAAATACTTAGAATATAATTCATGCCTATTTTTCGTTTATTGTTCAATAAATAAACAAAGATGTAGCCCTGTTTTGATTTTCTTAGTTTTTGTTCTTATTTTATCTAAAATTTGATAGAGAATCAAAATAAACTTCAAGATACACTGTTGATTAAAAGACTGGAATCAAGATTTCGAATTAATTTTAGTTTTTCTGTGAAATTCGAAATTTGAAAATGATTATACATTTTTCAAGTCTTGAAATCGTTGCGAAAGTTTTAAATGGATTTTCTAGTAGTTTAGTACGATTAAAAAAATAATAACAGTTAAATTCCAAAAAAAAGATTAATAAATTGAATTAGATGCAATCAAACGAAAACAAATGAATATAAATCATATAAAAGAAAATAAAACTTCAATAAAAATGTTTTTCTTTACCAACATTTTGTTGATATTGTTTATTAAATGTTGTTTGATGTGTTTATTTGAATTCTGAGTAATCAAAAATAAATTCTAAAACTAAAATTTAGAAAAGATGCAAAAACAAATGTTTCTGTTTTAAACAAAATATCTTCTTTTTGTTGTTGTCTTATTTGAATATAATATAGACTAATCTTAAATATGTTCGAATGAACTTGTTTAATGTGCGTGAATTTTCGAATAAATCTTATTATTCTGTTTTTCAGAAATCTATCGAAACTAATCAGAATTGACAGGAAATCAAGTTACTGGAATTATAAAAATACAGAAAATCTTAGTTTTTTAGTCAATTTATAGACATTTTTTTTCTGGTTATATTAAATATAATATTTCTCATAATTAAATGACTTTTTTTTTTAAATATTTGAATTTGTCAAAAGATAAAAATTGTTACATGAAATAAAACGTAATTTATATTGTTAGATTTATAAAAACAAAACAAAGTAGTATTATTTTAAATAAATCTTTAGACTTTAATCTTAGAAAAATCAATATCAAAATATTTTCTTGATAAAAATAAAAAGAGAATAGCTAAATTCATTTCGATATATTTTAGTCTATGTTTATATAAAATAAACTTATTTTCAATTAACCAATTATCATCGAAACAAAAAAGAGAAGATGAATATATAAACAAATCTTCATTCAGATTTGTTTATAGAATGATGATTATAGAAAAGGTTTGATTTTTATCTTGTTCTTTATTCTATTGAAAATGTCATTCAATGAAATAAACAAGTATAGATCACATAGACAAATATTTCACCTTTTATCAATTAAATATTTAGATTAAATTTCGCCATCCAATAACTAATCCATTGTTAGATTTATTAATTAATACTTATTAATTGACTAATATTGAAAAGGTGCTCTATAAAATATTATTTATTACTAAACAATTAATTTGCAGTAAAAAATAGTTAGATACCTTAATATAACTATTAAAAACTTAGAAAAAAGTTGATCTCATTTAGCCATTCAAAGTTCTTGTGGGTTCGACGGAACCCACGACGATGGTTCTGCTTTTTTCGAACAATCTTTTCTCTATTCGTTTGTCTTCTAATGATGCATAAGAGCGATGTCGAATTTCATGAAAAAGTCTAAGAGGAAAAAATCGAAGGTCAGTCTGCATGGGGACCTACATGTTTTACTGTATGTGATAAAACGAGGACCACTTCCGAGAGTTAAAACTTGAAATAAAAATAAACGATATGTAGCTAATAAATTATGCTTATCTCAACTGATAGTACATTGAATATAGTCCATTTTGTTTCTACGATTTCAAGTTCTATCAAGATATATAATTATATTTTTAGAGAACTATTTCTGTAATGATAATTGCTTGATAAACTATATAATTGTGGTCAAACTGACAAAAGTTAACCTCTAGGAATCTGACGATGATGATACTTTCAGTGTATTCAATTAATTTTCCTAAAAATAGATAAAAATGATAGAAAAGTACGAACCACTCTCAAAATATATTTATCTTAAATTTTGGTTATGTATTATAGGCATAGTCATTCATTTTTATTCGATTACTAAATAAACGTAAGAAACAAATTGAAAGAAGGAAAAATTTCCAGAAATGCAATTTAATCCTCCTTTGATGACAATATGCACGCACACACACCCTCTTATCATGTTGGGATTGTTCCAAAGAGAGCACGAGCGACAGGAATATCGAGTACAACAATTGCTAATACATATGTTGCATTGTCTGACATTTTAGGATCAACAAAGCTTATGTCGTTACCTTCAAAAATGCACTTGAAGTTAAATCTTTTCTTTTTATATGAAATAAAATGGAAAAACGAGTTCATCATGATTCTTGTTTTGTTTTTCTTAAGCATATAAAGTTGGGTCAATTAACAACACTTCGAATAGGTCACGATAATAGTGGTAAAATGCCTCGATGGAATATTGATCATGTTCTTGTTCGAAATCAATTCACTGGCAGTGTTTATCGGTTTGTTACTTTAATTTTTTTCTTAGCTCTTTTATTTGAATTTCTATGTTGTCGTTTAATCAAAATAGATTTCCATGTCGACGATGGTTAGGCAAAGGCATTGATGATGATAGTTTGGAATGCCTTATTTTTGTTGATTCGACTTATTGATTTGAAATGAATGAAAATAATCGTAGCAATGAATTTTTTTGATTCTGATTCATCATCTCAATTAATGACAACAAGCTTCATCGATGGAGGATCTCAAGCAAGTTTATCAACTCTAGGACGATCTCAATCGCCTAGTTTACGACGTGTCAATTATCGGAGTAAGATATATTTTAGTATTTCTATTTTGATTTATGACAATATTATTGTTACATGGACGTCCCCTACACATTTTTTCTTGAGATGGCTTTCGGATAATTTTCATCGTCGTAAGAATTGCATGAAATAATGATTTGTGTATTTTTTGTTGACATCCCAGCACACTACCGCTGCTATTGGTCTAGCAATCGATCTTTTTCTTTTGTCTAATCGATGATGTTTCATTTGATTCTGTTTAATATTTAGAAACTCAATCAACTCAACTTGCTGATGATATTTATGAATTGTTGTGTCAATCTATTAATCAATTAGTTAAATATTTCCATGATGCAGAAAAAAAAGTAATTTAAAAAAAGATTTTTTAAAAAAGAAAAAAAACTTCGACTAAAAATAATTATTTAGAGAGGATTGATAACACCAATATTATGTGGGCGACGATGGTCTTGTCAATGCATTAGAAAAGACTCTCTCCTATGGTCTTAGAAAAGCAACTGGTAATGTTCCATTTTTTGGTGGTGGGCGGAAACGATATATTTAGAAGTTTTTACGTACGCATTTAATTCTTAACTTTTCCTTTTCATTGATATATTTCTATTTAGTTAAAGTATGTGATGAATATTATGCATGTCGTTCACAATGGTAGCATACGAAAACGGAAAAGATAATTATTTGTTATATAAATGGTGTTCGATCAATTGAAAAAGCTCTTCCTACATTTGGTAAAGATGGTCGCTTTCAAAGTTGGCGTTGTTTACCTTGCAAGTATGTGTTAGATTCTTTTGTTTATCATTATTGACTATTTCTTTTTAGACTTCATCTATTATCATATTGGTTTCAATTATTGAGTCAATGTAGTAATGCATGTCTAATACAATTTGATGATCCATTGAATAATAGCTTCCGTAAAGAGAAACTTAATCCATTTATTATCAATATTTTAGAACCTGTGAGAGATTTTGATTTTTCTCATTTGAAACCCGCATTGCTCAAAGGAATTGCTGACGTTTGAATTATGTGTATATATACATAGTGTGAACTATTTTTATTGTATTTGCCTGTGTGTTAAGTCGAGCAAACAGTGATATGCACAAAACCGAATCGGCCTTATCTTCGCAATAAATATTTATTTTCTCTTTTTCTGTCTCGAAAAATATGCATCAACTATTGCATTAATGGTCATTTCTTATTTGAATCAAAATGAATAAGATTAGTTTTTTTTTATCACTGGGAAGGAAGAGAACCTAATTGAATTGTCTTCTCAAGTTTGATGACGTTATTGGATATAAAATAATTTTAAATCTTTCATATATCTTAAAAGTAATTCAAATAATTCAAGATGATGTTGTATTTAATGATACTTGCTCATAGATACCATGCAGGTTGGTTTGAGTCACAAGTAAACTTGAATTATTTATAGTTGTACAATTTGTTATGTCTAGCTTTTATTTCACCAAAAAAGAACCACCATGTAGATGAATCGGATATATATATCGACCAGAAACAATAAAAGAGAGAGATAGCAGAAGGAGATCGAGAAAGAGAGAAAACACGAACACTATGTACTTGAACATATAACATGAAATGGAGAACATTTCGATGTCCTCGAATAAACGAAAGAGGAATAAAAAAACAAAGTGAAGAGAATATATTTATCGATCGGAGTATGGATAGAAAGATAAAGAATGATAGTACCAGGGCATTAAGCCTATCTGCTGAGCTGCGATTCGACCTATATTTCCTATAATTCCTATATTTTCAAAAAAGTTCTATTTTTGTCCTATATTTTCCTATATTTTATCGAAAAAAGTAGAAAATATCCGAAAACCTCTCAATTTTGCTATTGTCTTTAGGTGGAAAAAAACTTTTAATGTGTATAATCATGTGTTTTGGGCAAATTGTTGTATTATAGTGACATTTGTTTTAAACAATATTTTTCCTTTCGCCTATATTTAGTGGACTGACTGAGAAATTGTGTAATGCTAAGTACAAAATACAAAATAGTTCAAAAGAAAAAAACATTCACAAAGTGATCATGTACTAGCTTCGGGTTTTTAGTGAAGTTTTAGTTAGATATAAAAACTTTATATATATATGCCCCCTGGAAAAAATAAGTTTCACTCTGTATTTTGAGGATATTGTTACCAAAAGAACATATTTTTTAACAAGGAACGGCATATTCTGAAAGCCCGTGTACGCCATCCTGTGTATATGCATTTTCATTTACACCTATTTATTACCAGAAAAAATTGAGTTATGATAAAATACAAAATAAACTTGTGGAAAATAATAAGCGATGAATGCTGACTATCAGGACAATCAAATTAGGTTGAGATTTTTTGGGAAGTCATGTCCGTAGTCTGCAACGTCTTCTTTCATTATAAGAAATAGTATTTGTCTTTTTCAAAGCTTATGATCTACTTTATTGTTATTTATCGATTTGTGAAAAACTTTTATAATGATTCTCGAATTAACGACTTATTTCAGTAGGAAAAATTACATAAGGATCTTGGCTACGGTTGAACTGTTTATAACAGCTTCATTAAAACGCTTTTCGAGCAGAGCAGTTAAAAAACACCAAAACAATTGAACAGAAGCGGCGTATAAAATGTTCTCTCTTTTTGTCATTTTTTTTATCGAAAATCCTATATTTTTGACAACCTTGGTCCTCTAAGGATTCCTATATTTTTAAAAAAGTGCAATCGGAGGCCAGCCTATCTGACTTAGCACAATTACTCTCAGTATTTAATAATTCTGCATTGCTGGAAATTGACTGAAAAAATATATAGGAATCACTTGTTGTTGGCGTTAAGTTTTTATCTACGTTTTTTTTAACTGATGTATTTTGTTAGAGGTGATGCTTGTTGTCATAAATTATATTAACTAATCGCACAAAGGCTAAGGTTCGCATCTTTCTAATTGTATTTGCTTTAGCACCCAGGTCGAAGCAACCGACCCGGGAAACGGCCGGTTCCCGCGCATTCCCGCGATTTCACGGAAGCAGTATTCCGGATCGAGAAATCTACGAATTTTCCTGTAAATTCCGCAAAGTTCCTGTTGGTTACCGCCGGAAATCACCGGGAAAATCCGTCCCGGAATCCTGCTTCTAGGGTCCGATGATATCCGGCGTTTTCCTGCACGTTCCGATGCGCTTCCAGTATGTTTCTGGCCGGTTCCAATGAAATCCGCTCATTTCTGGAGGCCGGAAACATCGTCCTGGGCACGATCATCGTAAACGTATAAGTATAGAATAGAAAAAGCATCGAGGTGTTAGATATTATTTTTCTTCCGTTGTGATCGAGTTTAATTTGCTTCTGAGCGGCAGACGGAAAAAATCAAACTAGCTGACGAATAATGCGTCGATCTTGCATATATATATAATTGGTGGTGATGAATTCTTTCGCATTCTATTTCGTGCCTTTCATTGTTTTTCTTTCTCGTCTACAGATATATTTTCTTCAATTATAAACAAATAATCATTAAAACTTTTAAATTTTATCAAATAGATTTGATAATGAAACGACCCTACTATTACAGCAAAAATGGTGAATCAATTGTAGAACCTAGTACAGCAGCTGTATGTATATGTGTCCTTCACTTATGTTCTTACTTGTCTAATAAACATGTGCATTAATGAAGAAGTAAGTGGTTGAGATTTAGAAGTGTTCTCGATATTCCCCAGGAACTTTGAAAATCAAAAGCTTGTCATTATAAAATCATAAAACGAATATTAATTTTGATGTTTTCCAATTTCATCCATGAACTTGAAAAACATCAAAATTACTGTCCACCTCATCATCAAAAATACCTTTTTTCATGTTTTTCAAATCAATTCTTTTATATCTTTGTAGCAACGTCGGGTTATTTCAAGTACAATTACTGGTCAAATTTACAATATCATGGGTGATGAATGGCAAGGTAATGAAAAATATATGATATCTCTTCATTGTAAACAATTTCGAATTTCGTAGAATTAGCAGATGCATTGCATCAATTGGCGGTAGCTCATGGTGCCGTGAGTCAGATCGAATTGGATGATCCACGTGTCGGTGATCTTTGGCTCGATTTTTTTATTGGGTAAGATTTTTCATCTATTGATAATTTTTAAAGGATAATTTTTAGATATGATGATGCTGGTAGTGCTAAAAAATTCGTTAATTATCTTGAAGCTTTAAATAAAATTCAACCATTAAATCATATTCGTATGATCGAGTATGCTCCAGGACCAAATCCTCAACCGCAACCAATTATTTAAATCTTAAATTTTTGGTTTTCGTCATTATGTATTGAAACAAACCAATCAATGATAATGAACATTTTGTTATTTCTTTTGTGGTTGTGGGTAGAAACAAAAAAAGCAATTAGTTGTTTATTTCTTCTTTTTACCGTTATGCGTTAAAAAAATCCATTGATTAAGATTTGGTTATCTTTTTTTCTGCTACCTGTTTAATTAAAGCAATCAACTGATTTACGTTTTTTTTGTGGTTATGCCTGCAAACACGTAATCAATTGCATGCTCAGTTTTTTTTGTGATTATTCCTTGAGACATTAACACTTGATTATTTCTTTTTTTGTGATCGTTAGTTTAAACTAAAAAAATCCACTAATTTACTTGTTCTTCTCTTTTTTGGTTATACGTGTTTACATGCAAACATTTATAATTGATCACTTTGTGGTAATGCGTGAAAACACTAAATCGATTGATAACATTCGGATATTTTTCTTTTGTGATTATCTGTTTAAACTACAAAACATCAATTGATTTACCTTTTCTGTTCTTTGTGGTTATGCGTGTTTCTACGTAATTACTTGATTGTTAACTTTTTTCTTATGATCCTACATTGAAACAAAAAACAAGCAATCAATCATTCTTGACATTTTTTTTTCATTTTATATTAAACCAAAAAACAAATATTTGAGAAAGGGTCCACGATACCACTAATGATAGATTGATCTTCTGTGTATATTTCCATAATTATTCTAATATTACTTACTTTTTGATTGATAAAAATTGATAGCTCCTTTTTTATTAGCTCAGGAAGAGAAACGATTTTGAATTCTGTAACCATAATTGTTGAAGCAAAACATGCAAATTGCAACTTTCCTATGTAGAATTAATAGCTGGATTATGAGAAGAACGAGATCATTCAATGCAAACCTGCCAAGTTTTTCTTATTAGAATTGATTGATACATATTATTATTGATGTCATATTTAACATATTTAAAAAAAACATTCTCAATTTTGAACGGATACATAGTCAATTAAATATTACTAGTCCAAACAGTTAATTTATCTGTCTTAATTAATCTTTACATGTAGAATGATTATTCGTCTATAGTTCAACGAGATTCACAAGTCCAATGGTTATATAGATAAATAATAAACGGTTACCTTAAATAACAATAACTTTTTTTTAGTATTGGTATTCAATTGAATATGTTTTTGACTGAATAGATAGCTAAAAGATTAATGCAAACAAATAGATATGTACAACGAAACGTGGTGAATGAAAACCTCCCAGGTCAAACAATCAGACAGTAAGATCTTCTACGATCGTATCTCTGATCTTATATGATCTTGTAAGATCAGATGAAATCATACGAAAAATCATAAAGCCAGATCGTCGTATCAATGCGAACTGTAAGATTTCTGTAAGATCTTACAAGAATCTTGAAATCTTACAGTACGAATTGATACGATAATCTGGCTTTATGATTTTTCGTATGATTCAATCTGATCTTACAAGATCTGTGTCTGATTTTTTCACCTGGGTTGTAATGATATCGGGCGATGTTTACTTCAATTGTTTTGTAAATATAGTTGGTTTTCTTGATTAGACACAATGATATTACAATGATTGATGAAAGAGTGCTCTTGTGTTTAGATTATTTAGAGTAGGAGAATGATAAGTTAAATTGCACTCACACATCAATAAAAAGTTCCGTGCAACAAAAACAAGTAGACTAATAAAATTTAAAAATGTATTTTTTTTCATTTATCCTACCGCTGAGGCGATAACTTGCACAGCTGATTCATCGGTTGAACGTCTTGTTAATTGCATTGTTATAGCTTATGCTCCCGGATCTGCTGATGTTCTACCTAATGCCATTTTCGCTCGAACAAGTACATCATGTTCACCACGATAAACATCCGCTAAATAAAGTACATGTAATACTTTGCCTTCTGGAACTTTGTCTGATCATTCACAAGCTAGCATGCCCATGTAACTTATTATCTTCTTCACACATTCTATAATAAACGTAAAATTAAATAATAAAAAGGGAAAAGATAAAAATTAATAATAACTTTCAACTGTTGGAATTGGTAATGTATATATATCTTCAAGTTCATTTTCAACTTCAATTTCATCACACGAAGCAGACCAATTTGGTTTAAGTACTTTTTGTGCATGATCACTAACGGTAATTTCAATATCTTCAAGCTATAAAAACAAGAAAAAGAAATCACTATCGAATAAATAACAGAAAAATACGAATCTCAAATTCGGCAGCATAATCTTCTTCATCGTCGGGTACACCTACCTGTAGCTGGATCACAATCTTTAACTCTCTATTTCATTGTACATACCAATGTATCAGTTACAGCTGATGTTATCATCAGGTAATTTAACTAATGCATACGTTGTACCCGTATCATTACATTTAATAATTGGACATGGAATATAATTAACAACTTCAAAACTTTCACCAGAACCATCCATTTGAACAGTAACTTTCTCTAATAATTGATTATTTAATGCATTATTTATATCAAACTAGATCGAAAAACAATATATAATAATAAAGCAAGGAAATTAGTAGAATCTTTACTTGAAAAACAATATAATGACTAAAAAGCATCTTTAATTCATCGTACAACATATTCAACTTCATGGTCAGTGAAATAAGCAGCTAATGATGATTTGAATATGGGACCCAAATGAGCAAATTCTGGTATAGCCAACAATTTTTCATACGTATCTTCTCGGTTTGTTTTCGTTTCAGTTCCTGCTCGTGGAAGACCAATACCAATACTTATATCCGCTAAATCAGAAAAAAACAATCCTCATTAAATAATAAAAATTAATTTGAATATTCAACCTTTAGGCTGTTCAACTGGAACCGTTTCAGTAAGTACTGATGGAACATCAAATGGTTTAGTTGTTGGTTTCATCGTATTACGATGTAAAAGACCTTCAACAGGTGATAATGATACGTTCATTGGTGAACCATCAAATATTCTATTTTATTTTATTCAATTTATCTATTATACTTACAATTGAGAACATAAGTTGAATTAAGTCCTTTATCATTTTGTTTTAATAATTGTTAATAAAACGTAGCACAATCACGAACTTCATCATCTTGATCACGTGTTGTTCGTTGTAAAAGTACCAAAATATTCGGTAATAATTCTTCGGATGGTGTGAGATTGGATAGGGGTGTCACCCTTCTTTTAGTCTACACCCCCACCTCCCACACCCACACCCCGGTAGATGATTAATCTTAAACAGTACAGCTAATGAATCTATATTGGGAGTTTTCTCAGAGATTTTCTTTGACGCACAGATATTCATACTTTTAAATAGAAGATAAATCTCTTTATTATCTTTAAAAGAGAAAATTTAGAACTAAATTGTTTGTCAATTACCGAAGATATCAGATGAAGCAATATATTACAGTTAATATTCTTATTTCACACATTTTCATTTTTGTGAGTTAGAAAGAAATATACAAAAAAAAATCTTCCAAATGAATCAAATGATTATGTCAAAATAATGTTCAGCTTCAATTTTCTCTTGAAGGTGAAACAGATAATAATTAATGCTCAAAAGATTAAGCTTCACAGTTTCGTTCAAATTCTTTTAAATTTTTTCTAGAGATCATTTTGACATCAATCGAGGATAAAACGATATAAGAGATTAGTAAATTAATTGAAAACATTTCAGGTTGAATCGGAGAAAGTCAATTGTCAACATCATGGTAGTTCTACCAGAAATCTCATCAATACGGTGACTATCAGCATCCAAGCTAAAACTTTCTGTAATTGAAGGACTCGCTACTATAAGACCTATCGTTAAAAAATTCATAGAAAAAGTTCGTTAGCAACAGGTTTTTTGTTTTGACCAAAATGTATCATCTTTCGACCAATGATCATAATTTTCGTCATTTTGTGGTAGCAACTTTTTTCGATTAAGAAACACTATAATTCGGATTAAATATACTAGTGTATAGTACTAAGTTAGTAGTTTCAGTTCATCAATATATCGGTCGGTTCATATCTGTAATATACGAATTTTTTCTATGGGTAAAAATGCAAAAGTAGCAAAAATAGGCTTTTTTGTGATGTTATTTTTCACATTATAATATACCGATTAACCATTCGTTTTCATATTATTATATACTTACTTCGAACGCCACCTAGATAGGATTTTGATCAAAACGAAATAAAACGTGCTTTTTCTTTGTTTGAAAAATCAATTTTGTTGATTGCATAACAAATAATGAAAGTTGTACCTTCCGTTCGGTATCAGATAAAATGACAAATATTGCAGATTCAATTGCCTATTTTTCTGACTAAATCACACCGACATCTCTCAATAGAATATCAAACACGTTGCACCGCAGTAAACAAAGATTTTCATTAAAATTTCAGGATTTGTACAGCTTATAATTTAATAGTTTTGATAAAAATGTTTTTAGTAAAATTTATGTTTTCATTAGGATAGGCCCAAGTATTAGCAACAGTGGAACAAAGTACCTTAAAAAAAAACTTCATAAATATCTTTTGATCGATTTCTATACTAAAACGAGGTCGAAAAGAAAAGTCAATAAAATACTCAAGTTTCTCGTAACGTGGAACATCTAGCTATAATAATTTTGATTTTAATTCGAACGTGTGAGTGTGAATCTTCTCTTTGAAGCATCCATATTTAGACATCGATAAATTAAATTGACTTTTATTTAAAATCTGCCAAAGCTATGACGTGATCTAAATCTTGTTCATAGTATATTGACATTTTATTTTCTCATGAATTTCTCTTTCTATCAGATATATATATCTGATAGAAAAGCAAAACCTATTTATAATAGAATAGTTTATTGAAAATATCATCGTTGACATTTTTTTTTCTGAAAATATTTAAATTCGAGTTTCGTTCTTTGTTTTTTTTAAAGTGTAAACTAAACATTTTATTTTTTTGTAAGTAAAGGTCCAATATGAACAAGAAAACTAGTTGATATTTGATTTCTTTTTGAAATACTTTTATGAATTTTAATCCATTGATATAATATTTGTTTCCAATCATTTAAAATATTTTCACTAAGTTCAATAATTTCAGTTTTCTTTTTTTCAATTCGATTGAAATGATTGATTTGTTCATATTTTAAAACGTTAGCCATTTCATTTAAATGGAGATAAATTCCACGAGAATAAAGAGATAACACTAATTCATATCTGCTAAGTTTATTTATATTCTTAATTAATATTTGATCATCATTAAATATTCGATTTTGCCAATTTTCAATTTGTTTTATAATTGAGTAATTATTTAATAAATATTTACTAATAAATGATGAATGTAATATTGATTGATGAACTAATAATAAATGTTGACGCTCAATTGATGATAAATTAAGATTTCTATTAAATAATGAACTTGTTTCTTCAATTGATGACATTATTGATTCAAATCGATCATTTGCACTGGAAATCTTTAAATCGAGGTTTATTTTTATTTTTATAAAATATATTTTTCTACATTTCTATATTATGAGTAAGAAAATGTTCTGTTGTTTCTTATAATTCTACCAAATAATTATTAGATCCATTAGAAATATTTTTATTTATTCTCACATGAATTAAATCATATATATTTAGAAACGATAAAATTTATGTATATAAAATAATTCCTTCAGCTATCAATATTAATTATTTTCTTTGTTAAAATTCGAATAAAATCTGTTTAATTTATTGAAAATTTATATAAAACAAAATACTATATTTTTAAATATTCTTTTAAACGACCTTGAATTGAAAGTTTATTTCAAACATGTGAATTAACCTTAAAAAAATCACAATTAAACTGAGACATTCTCGAAAACTATTTTTTGTTGGAAAAATAAATTTATTATTTATATCTTTGTGAAAATGAAATATTTTTCTGAATCGTTTTAATACTACATGTAAAATTAGCTTTCAATTTATTCTAATTGTTTGAAATAAAAATTTCAATAGATCTAAGTTAATTTACTTTATTTATAAATTGTATAATTGATATAAAATCATGAATTTTTTCTGAATCATATTGACGTTTACTTAATTTAATTAATGAATCAATAATTGACGATGATACATTTGCATCATCTTTTAAAAATTCAACCTAAAATATTATTTTATCCTTTAATAATAAGAAATTATTTTCTATAAAAACCTTTTGTTTAGGCATAATTAATGTCGATGGAAGATATTTTGGAGCAATGAGTGCAAGAAGAGGTGCACTATAACCAATAATAGGCATTGCAAATAGTAAAACAAATGGAGCTCCAATACGAATATCGTAACGATATTGTTCTAACGTTAAATAATCAAGACGTGTTAACGAGTTCACATCTCTATTGGAAAAATATTTATTGTATTAGAGAAAAGAAAACAAATCGAACTTTTTCCGAATTTCTCGAGCTGTTTTATAATTATCATAAAGTAATTTTGATCCAATCCAATAATGATTAAGCACATATCGAATACGAGATAAAAATGAACCTTTTTCTCGTAGTGAGCTTAAACTGTGAATATTTGTATGTAGAATTTTACTAGATTTGAATACACATAGGTTTTGCATTATTTTCTAGTCGGTAACTGTCACAATATGTCCAAATAGCTCACCGAGCATTTATACATGGATACAGATTCTAATTCCAATGAGAATTATTCGATAGAGGTCCCTATTATCTATATGTTCAATATCGTACATCATCATTTATAATCGAATAAATGTTTAATAAATCAAAGCTCTTTTTAACTTTGAGTCTACAACAGAAATCTGAGCGAATGTGCCTATATTGATGTATTTAGAATTTAAAATTTATCGCAAAATCAAATTCTGCTTGAGCACATTAGGTTTTGACAAAATAGAAGCACAAGAATTTACCGACAATAAGAGATCATGAGAATAGTTATGAATTAATCGTAGCCGATGTCGACAATTACGAACTTCATATATGCTATCGATACGCAATCAGAATGATTTTGTTTTAGCGGTTTACATGGTCCAGTACAGAGATCCGAGACTCGCCGAGTTTCCCCGCCTCGCC